CGGACGGGGCCGTGCTGGGGCCCGAACCTGTCCCTGTCAGGGACCTGCACAGCGTGGGGTCAGTGCAGGGCCCCCCCTGGAAAACGTGGGGCTCCCCCCTGCTCCTGCCTGGCCTCAGCCACGCGCTGCGGGTGGCAGCAACACTCACCCTGCGAGACAGAAACCCGAGCAGCACCCCGGGAGCTGCCCTCAGGCACCACATTGGGGCTCCTCCGCCTCACCACAGCCCAGGAGCTGCCGCTGAGCACAGCCACGGGGACAGAGCGGTGGCAGAGCACCCGTAGGGCACACTGCCGTGAGCCCGGCCACGTGCTGCGGAGCAGGGGCACCCACCCGGAGCACCCCACGTGGCTGCGGCACCACGGGTCCCTTGGGACGGACGCGGAGTGGGGGCTGCTCGCAGCACAGGGCGGCCTCCTAGGTCTGTGCCTGGCAGCCAAACCCCACAAAATTTGGTCCTGTGCTCCCCAAAACGCACCACGGGGCCGCAGCGGAGCAGGGGGGAGGCACAGCAGTGCCCCTAAATGTGGGGCAGGGGGGTCCCGCTCACCGCCCCCAAGCTCTGGAGCTCCGCGGGTGCTGCCCCAGCCAGGGGGGTGCGCTGGGGGCCAGGGGGCTGAGGGCAGGGCGCGAGGCAGCAGCACGAGGCCGGGGGTCACGCAGCAGCACGAGGCCCCGGGGCGGTCACGCAGGGGCACGAGGCAGCCGCGGCCCCGCACCAACCCCGCGCTGCGCCTCGGGGCCGGCTCCGGCTCCTCTCCGCCCCCCCCCCCCCCCTCCCCGCCGTGCCCGGGCTCTCCGCAGCCTTCCCGGTACCGGGTACAGCCGGGACCGGCCCAGCGCCACCCCTCGGGGCACCGGCTGCCGGCTGCCCCCCGCCACCGCCCGCTCCTTCAGCGCCCTTCCCGAGCCCCCCCGGGCAGCGGCCGCGTCGTGACCGAGCCCCGGGGCCGGGCAGGGAGCCCCGAGCCCCCCCCCCAGGGCCCGTCCCGGGGCCGCCCCGTCCCGCCGGGGCCGTCCCCAGCGCCCCCCCCGCACGGGGACTTCCCCCCGGGGCCGTCCCGGAGCGCGCAGCGGAGCGGAGCCGCCCTCGGAGCCCCCGGTGTGGGCCCAGCCCCGAGGCTCGGGGGCTCCTCGGGGGCTCCCCCCGGGCCGTCCCCGCCCGTACCGGGGCACCGGGGCTCGGCGGGGCCGGGTGAGCCCCGGGCCGCCGCTCTGAGCCCGGCCGCTGCCGGTGCGGCGGGGCCCGTCCCGCCTCGTCCCGTCCCGGCCCTGCCCTGCCCGGCCCCGCGGGGCCCCCCCCGCTCCGGGCCCCCCCCTCCGGTACCGGCCACCGCTGCGCTCCCGCTTCCGGCTCCAGCGCCCGCCGTCATGTGACCCTGCCCGTCACCTGACCGCGTCACGCTCCCGGCGTGCCCCGCGCGGGCGGGAAGGGGAGGGAGATGAACTACAACTCCCAGCGTGCCCCGCGGCAGGGAGCACAGCTCCTAGCGGAAAGCGGGGGGGGGACTACATCTCCCGGCGTGCCCCGCGGCGGCCGCGCTACGGGTGGCGGCGAGGGCCATGGGGCGGGCGGAGATGGCGCGCGTGCCGCACGTCGTGGCCGACACCGGGGCCTTCGTGTGCGGGGCCGCGCTGCAGGTGGGGGGGGGGGAACGGGAGGGGGGGGGCACCGGGGATTGGGGGCTCCGGGCCTCGTGTGACGGCGCCGCCCCCCCCCCAGGACGTGGCGCTGAGCGTGTACACCGTGCCCGAGGTGCTGGCCGAGATCCGCGACCGCCCCACCCGGCGCCGCCTGGCCGCGCTGCCCTACGAGCTGCGCCTCCGCAGGCCCCGCGCAGAGTTCGTGAGGCTCGGTGAGAGCGGGGGGGGACCGGGGGGGACCGGGGGGGGGCGGGGCTGGGCCCCCCCTGAAGCTGAGCCCCCCCCCTCGCCCCCCACCCAGTGTCCGACTTCGCCAAGCGCACCGGGGATTTCCCCAGCCTGTCGGCCGCCGACCTGCAGGTGCTGGCGCTCACCTGCCAGCTGCACGCTGAATGCTCCGGGCCCGCCGGGCTCCGCCTGCAGCCCCCCGACAAGGTGTGGCACCGGGACCGCCACCGGCACCGGGATATTGGGGGTGTGAGGGGGGGGGGGGGGGGCTGGGGGCTCGCTGAGCCCAGGCGCTGCCCCCAGGTGCGGCTCAGCTCCAGCCTGAGGCACCCCGAGGCCCCCCTGCACCTCGCCGGCTTCCACCTGCCCAGCAAGGTAAGGGAAAGGGACAGGGAGGGGGGGGGACGGGGTTTGGGTCCCCCCAGGGATGGGGACGCAGCCCCGCAGAGCCCGGGGTCGAGGCACCCCCGCGCCCTGCCCCGCCGCAGCACAAGTGCCCCGGGAAAGGCCGGCGGCAGCACAGCCCCGAGAGGAGCCAGGATCCCACCGAGAGCAACGAGTTCGGCTCCTTCCTCTACTGGAGGCCGCCTCTGCCCAGCATCGAGGATGAGCTGCAGGAGCTGCTGGTGAGCTGCCGCGTCCTGCTCCTCGCTGTGCCTGCTGCCCTGGCTCCTGGCTGGCTCGGCCCAGCCCCTCTGCGTGGCAGCGCTGTGCCCCAACATCCACCTCCTCCCCAGGAAGCCCACGCTGTCTCCGTGAGCCCAGAGACCACCGAGGAGCACCGGAGCCCAGAGGATGGGGACAGCGCCAAGGAAGAGGAGGATGAGGAGGATGAGGATGAGGAGGAGAGCGACGACGAGGGTTGGATAACGCCCAGCAACCTCAAGCAGGTCCAGCAGGACCTGGGGCACTGCGACACGGCGCCCGCTGACATCCAGGTCGGCTGCGTCACCACCGACTTCGCCATGCAGGTGGGTGCTGATGGAGGTGGGAGGTGCGGGCTGGCTCCAGCCTCCTTTAACATGAAGAGCTGTCAGCTTTCTCCACAGCAGCAGCCTCTGCAAAGCCTGTCAGGGTCACTTTCTTTGGCCTTTCTGGCTGCTCAGGCAGGCAAACACAGGCTGGGGCTTCTGGGGTGCCCCCTGACAGCAGCCCCCTGACAGCAGCCCCCTTTCTCCTCCCTCGCTGCAGAACGTGCTGCTGCAGATGGGCCTCCACGTGCTGGCAGTGAACGGCATGCTGATCCGCCAGGCCAGGAGCCACATCCTGCGCTGCCACGGCTGCTTCAAGTGAGTGCCGTGTGTGCTGTGCTGTGCCGCCACGGCACGGGGTGTGCCTTCCCTGGGCCTGGGTGACTGCTCCTGGTCCTGCTGAGCCCGGGTCCTGCAGCCTTGGGAGCAGTAAATGCCCTCTGTTCCTCTGTCCCTCTGTTTCCCAGGACAACCTCAGACATGACCAAGGTTTTCTGTCCTCACTGCGGTAACAAGACCCTGAAGAAGGTTGCGGTGAGCGTCAGCGAGGACGGCAGCCTCCACATGCACTTCTCCCGCAACCCCAAGGTGCTGAACCCCCGAGGGCTCAGGGTGAGTACGGGCTGAGCCGGGCAGCGTGCAGCCAGTGGGTGGAGAGAACTCTTGGCCCCAGAGAGCATCAAAACAGAGCCGTGATCATTTTCCAGCTGTTCTGCTTAACCCAAGGGCTTTGGGGTTTCATTTGCTGAGCCCTTCTCTAGAAGCTAGCTGTTATTCCAAAGTCTCTCTGAGCCAGAGCTGCTCCTGAAGCAACTTTAACAGCCTCCCTTCTCTTGGCAGTACCCGCTGCCGGCGCCGCAAGGAGGGAAGCACGCCAACAACCCCCACCTGGTGGAAGACCAGCCCTTCCCCCAGCAGCGGCTGTCCCGCAAGGCCAGGCAGAAGACCAACGTCTTCGACCCCGACTACATCGCGGGGGTCTCTCCCTTCGCAGAGAACGACATCTACAGCCGCGCCGCCAACCTGCACATCCGCGACGCGGCCCTGGGTGCGGGCAGGAGGCGCCTGAACCCCAACGCCGTGACAAAGAAGTTTGTGAAGAGGAGGTAAAGGGCAGGACGGGGCCCTCCGCAGGGCACTGTGAGGGCAGGGCCGTCCGCCAGGGCACTGCGTGGTGCCTGGTGGCACCAGGAGGGCGACCCGCCTGCAGCTCCAGTGCCCGGCCTTTCCTTCTGAGCTTCTCTGCGTGCCTGAGGGGCAGAGCGACGGGTGCCAAGTCTCTGCTTTGGGGAGGCTTTGACCCGGAGTGCCCGCAGCCTCGGTGCTGGTGGAGGGCAGGGGTTGTGCTGAGGTTTTTGCTCTCCCCGGACTCCCCAGTAACCCGCAGCGCTGAGAATAAACACACAAAACTGCAGCGTCATGGCTCGTTCATTTCTAGCGGAAGGGAGGCAGGGTTGTTGGGGTGAGAGGCATTGGCAGTGCCCAGGGGTTGTTTGTTCTCAAGGCACTCCCTAAAAACAAGATTTTAAATGCAAACACGCATCCAGCATCCAGCCCAGACCTTGCAGGGGCTGAGCACCCAACTGCACGCGCACCGCAGCCACGACTGCCCCATGTGCCCCCCACACGTGTCCAAGGGTCCCTCTGCACACACGGCCGTGGTGGCCCCAGTGCTCCAGAACCATGCAGCTGTTCTCTCACCAGTGGGACGGGGGAGAGAACTGGGGGGTGGACTAAAATTATGGATTGACATGAAGACAGCTTAATAGGACAAACAAAGGGAAATAATAAGGCCACGGGCTGGGGTGTCCTTCCAGCAGCTGGGGTCAGCGGTCCCGGCTGTCTCCTCCCAGCTCCTCGTGCACTCCCGGCTGGCAGGGCAGTGTGAGAAGCTGAGACGGCCTCCATGGGTTACGTAACCAGCATTGTTGTTGTCCTAAATCCAAAGCATGGCACCACACCAGCCACTGTGAGCAAAATTAACCCTATTCCAGCCCAAACCAGGAGACTGGCCCTGGCCCCAGCATTTGGACGCTAACGAGGGGGAAGTGAAAGTGGCACAGAGGGGGAGGCTTGGCTGCTCCTGATGCTGCACCGTGCCCCCGGGCACTGGGCACGCCAGGGACAAGAGGTGTTACCCCCCTTGGGTGGTGGTGCAGCTGAGTCACGTCACGGTGCTGCACTCTGGCTGCTCACCCAGCCTCCCGGGGACCTGTCCAGCCCTGCCCCGAGCAAAGTCCAGTCCGGCATCCCGCAGTGACAAGCAGTGCTCCAGCTCCGCTACCAGCAGCCGAGCCGCTCTGGCCATGGCAGGTAGGTCAGCACCAGCACCAGCACCAGCACCCAGCCCAATCCTTCCCAAGGCCACAGGAGATGGCTCAGCCTCACCCACAGCTGGCGAGCAGCACCGGGGCTGTGGTGCTCCCAGCCCCAGGCGTTTTCCCTTCTCTGCAGCCTGGCTGGCAGCGTTAATTGGGAGCAAGGCTCAATTAAGCGTGCTACTGACTGCTGCCCTTGTGGCCTCAGAGCTTCAACTTCTGTTGGCACGGCACGGCACAACATGGCACGGCACAGCCTGCTTGCTGAGCCCTGCTGCAACGTGCCTGGGGGCAGCTGTGGGGCTGCTGTGGCAGCTGCAGGCATCTGGGGGCTGGGGACATCGGTATGGGGGGGTCTCCTTGCGGTGTCCATGTGGCACCCACGGGTGCCTGCAGGACACTGTGGGTGCCCCCATGGGGGGCTCTGTGGGCCCTGCTGCGGGGGTGCTGAGCTGCCCCTCCCCGCAGGACGCAAGGCCCTGATCGTGCTGGCGCACTCTGAGAAGACGTCCTTCAACCATGCCATGGCGGAGGCAGCTGCCAGCACGCTGCGGGCCAAGGGCTGGGATGTCACCATCTCCGACCTCTATGCCATGGGGTTCAATCCCGTGCTCTCACGGCACGACATCACCGGTAGGACCACAGCCATCGCCCCTGCCAGCCCCGTGCCCCCGCTGGCTCCCCCCTAACCCCCCAGCTCCCCACAGGGCCGCCCAAGAACCCCGAGCACTTCGTCTACGAGACGGAGATGGGAGAAGCGTGGAAGGAGGGACGCCTCAGCAGCGACATCGTCGCCGAGCAGAAGAAGATCGAGGCAGCTGATCTGATCATCTTCCAGGCACGGGCGCAGGGAGCAATGCTCTCCTTGTTGGACGGGCGCTGGGCTGGGTTGGGGAGGGGGATTGGGGTTGGGGGGATCTGCCTTGGGGGCCGGGGGAGGCGGCAGCGCTGGCTGCCAGCCTCAACTCCGCGTGCTCTCCCAGTTCCCACTGCAGTGGTTGGGGATGCCGGCCATCCTCAAGGGCTGGTTCGACCGCGTCATCATCCAGGGCTTCGCCTACTCCGTGGCCACCATCTACGAGCAGGGGCCCTTCCAGGTAGGTGGCCGGGCTGGGGGGTGGGGGGGGACACCAGGTGCTGGCCTTGCCTTGCCCCCTGCTGTGGGTCCTACACCCTGTGCCTTCCCCCCTGCCGTCTCCAGAAGAAGAAGGCCATGCTGTCATTCACCACCAGCGGGATGGAGTCCACGTACAGCCCTAAGGGCATCAACGGCGACATGAACGTGTTCCTCTGGCCCATGCAGGTGGGGCCGGGGCTGGGGCCTGGGCTGGGGCTGGGGCCAGAGTGGAGCTGAGGGGCCGCACTGACACCTCCCCTGCCCCGTCGGCAGCGGGGCATGCTGCAGTTCTGTGGCTTCCAGGTGCTGGCACCTCAGATCTGCTACAGCGTGCGCTACGTGACCCCCGAGGCACGGGCGCAGATGCTGAGCGCCTGGCAGAAGCGCCTGGCTACCATCTGGGAGGAGAAGCCCCTCAGCATCGTCCCCAACAGCTGCTTCGAGATGAGCATGGAGCGCGGCTTCGTGCTGAAGCAGGAGGTGCTGGCGCAGCAGGAGGGGAAGAAGCAGGGGCTGACGGTGGGGCAGCACCTGGGCAAGGCCTTTCCCCCCAACCAGCAGCTCAAGGCCCCGTAGCAGGTGCTGGACACCTCGGGGCACCGCCAGGCCCACCACTGCCGTGCGCCCAGCTCCGTGTGGTGAGGACGAGGCCTGGCCCTGCGGCCACTGCACTGCCAGGGCCAGGGGGGCACGATGGTGGTGGCCCAGCCCTTCCTCTTGGGGGTTCGGACCCGACAATCTTTCGAGGTCCCTTCCAGCCCCTTCAATTCCATGATTCAGTTGTGATCTTTCTCTCTCTTTTTTTCACTGTCCCTTTGCTGTCATTTTCTGGCACGAGATCCCTCAAAAGCGAAGTCTCGGGGTGCCGGGGGCTGCGGCATGGCGCTTGGTCGCCACCATCCATGTGAACACAATCAATAAACTGCAGCCTGGAAATCAGCGGCGGTGTTGGTGTCGTTCGAATTTCCCATTCCCATCCATCCCGGGGAAGCAGGGGGTAGCGGCCCCATGGTGTCCTGGGCTGCGCGGTGTTGGCAGCGGGGCCGGGCCCCACGACCCTGCAGCAGGGGGAATGGGGACGGATCCTTGGCAGAGGGCAGAGGACCTGGCACAACGTGGAAGAAACGTGCCGAGGGCAGGGCACGGGCAGCACACGTGGGACCGTGCTGAGGCTCCAGAGCTGGGCTCGGGGGGCCGAGGGGGTGCAGATCCCACAGGTCCCAGCAGGGACAGAGCCAGCCGAGTAGGGCAGCAGGGCCGGAAGCTGAAGGGTTGGATACACCATTAAAAAATAATAACAGAGAGTAAACTACAGATATAGTACAGATAGTAAACTCCTATCAGCAACGCACCCCTTCCTTCCACGTCGATGTGCACGAGCCAGGCTTGTTCCCTCCTACCCAGGGCTGGCAGCACACAGCCCGGCACTCAGAGCTCCACTGCTTGAGCACGGCTGGCACAAAAACGCATTTTGCCCTTGGGCTAAGTTCAGTGTTTGTTTTTTTTTTACCCTTGTTGTAACGTTTCTGTCCAGTAAGCACAGGAAGCCCATTTTACCAAGCAAAAAGGCAAACAAGACCCCTCCAGGTTGTTTTTTAGGTGCTTGTGCTCTTGGGGCACACAGCGCTCCTTGCTCCAACTCAACGCCCGTTTGCCCTTGAACAACTTTTCTGGAGGGTGCTGCGTGCCCAGGCTGCTCCCCGCACAAGCCCCGACTTCTGCCAAATGTTACTTCTCCAGCTTTGCTGATGAAAATACTGAGAAGGAACTAACTGAAAGCTGGCACTGCCTTCCCCACTGAGTATCTTTATCAAGCTTGTCCCAAAGAACGTAACCACATTTACCCAGGCATATTTTCTCATTGGGGGACGCAGCTGGGCCTCAGCCTCCCCGGGTCACCTCCGGCACATCCGCATGAGCACAGCGAGGATGCAGCTGCAGGGGGATTGTGCTGAGACACACGGGAACTGAGGCCTGGGCACAAACCCTTCTGCCAGAGGCAGCATCCCCAGGCACCTCTGGAGAGCCCCCGCCGGAGCTGTGGGAGGGCTGAGCACATCCCCATCGGCTCCTCGGAGGGGATCCCACCTCTGGCCGACCATGAAAATAACCTCGAATGCTTTGAAGTTACAAAGCTGGGGCGTGGGTAGTAAGCCACGCAGGCAACCTTGGACTTAAGGCAAAGTCAAGAAGAAACACTGTAAGTTGTTTCGTTTTTGTTTTTTTTTTTTTCCAAAGCGTGTGCATGCCACGCTGCCTTTCCTTATGCAACAGCTCGAGTGGGATACACCAAACCCCAAACCTGCACGCGCTCCTGTCCTCCCCGTGCTTCCTGAGCTGGCAGCCGCAGGGTCACCAGAGGGATTTACTCCGCTCTCAATGGCCACTTTCTCTTGGCAGAGGGAAGATGCCCTTGGGAAAAAAACTACACAAACCAAGAAAGCAGAACAAGACTTTACACTGCAAAATGAAAACTTTCATTGTTTTATTCTTGACTGCAGCTGTTTACAGAAATATAGTTGCGAGTATACAAATGTCCCAATAGAAGCAAAATATTTTTTTTAATATTTAACAAGTTATCACAGGATAGCTAAAAACATAGATGCAAATGAAATATCCCCTCAGAGAACAAACTGAAAACACTGGGTATCAGTGCTTTGAAATCCCATCTACGAAAGCCATATACACAGAAATGCACGAAGGAATATCTGGTGCTACTTTCACATTGCAGGACAATGGAAAAGGCAGCTCAGCAGTTGATCAGTGCACTCCAGAAAAACATGGCAGAAAGGCAGGAAAGCCACTAAGAAAGACGCAGGCATTAACAGAGGTAGAAAGCTCTCACCTTTTTTGGAGCTTACTCATTAGCAACAAGCGTGTATGTTAAAATTTGAAATGGCCTCATCTCAAATAGTGTCTGAATTAAAAAGCTTCGGGAACACTGGGGTCTTTTAGGAACTGGTTCCCAGTTCTGCCATCCCTAGAAGCGCCACTCTCCTTCCAACAGGGACAGCTGTGCTCTCCCAGCCCGCGGAGCCGCCGCGCTCCTGCACGGGACCTGTCCGGGCAGGGGATGCTCAGGCCTGGCCTCCACCCACCTTACCAAGGGGCAGCTCCAGGGACTAAAAAGAAGTTAAAAAAATGCATGTTATCTGAATATAGGACCCTTTGCTAAAAAATGCACATAATTAGAGTATTTTACAGTGGGCTGTGGCTGGGTGTGGGAATTTAGGAGTCTGAACTGAGCACTTGCAAAGAGAATTTCGGTGAGAATCCCATGGCAAGCAGGGAAATCCTCACATTCCTCACCCTCATCCCAGCACGCCTGCACGTTAGAAGCAATTTCATACACTGCAATAGCAAGAAGTAGAGAAGATCATCTCCAGAAGTGGGGGAGATCAGGCTAAAAAAGAATACACCCATTTGCTTTCGGTTTGGCAGAGATGCTCTGAAAACGCCTGTAACGAGGCTACGGCGCCTATCGATAACCCAACGCCAAATTGCTGTGCAATACACCTGGGTTGGCACGAAGAATCACGGTGGACTAATGCATGCTCTTGGTTTCACATTCTGGATTTCCTTCGAGTTCCATTGCTCACACAATCTGTAGGAACTCGGAACAAGTCGGGGCCGGGTTCCTCACGGCTAGCAAGCAGGGAGGGGGCTGTCACACGGTTTCAAGGAGGGAGTGCTTTAGCCATCAGCTACTTCAGTACAAAGCAAAACCAGAATGGAAGATGCTTCCCCTTGCATGCAGGAATCAGGACAAGCAGGAGAGGAATGACCTACAGATTACGTTTCCTCATCCTGATTCAAATGCAACCCAGCTGAGCAAGAACGATGAATGACCCGCACCGGGAAAGAACTGCTCGTGTCAGCCCAGCTCCTACCGAGCAGCACAAACACCACTACTCCGTGTCTGTACGGGCTGCTAGGACACTCAGAAAGGGAACTGCCCTCAGCACCGACATTTGCCAAGTCACTTGGGGAAAGCTGGCAGAGGAGCAGATGGACGCAGAAAGCTGCTGAGCCCATCCAGTGGGCAGAGCCCTAACCAAAGCTGTCAGTTCTACTGCTTGGTTACATCGTGTTTGCAACTATTAATAAAAATATATAAAAATACAAAAGTGTACAGCTGTTTTAAACAGTCACTTTAACCCCACGGACATTAGTGAAGTTCAAGAGCAGGGCAAGTTTCTGAAGCAACACATCCAGTACTCAAAGGCGTTTAGACAACTATTAATGAGCTACTACAAAAACCTCGGTAGATGAACTCATACGAAGGAAAATTAATATTATTTCAGGTTTATAAAAATGTAAATATTAATAATATTCTATGCATGTCTACCACTATTTGTAATAGATAGGACTCCTCTATATACATATGTACAATCCTAGCATATACAGGCATTGCGTATTTACACACCTAGAGGCGAAAGGAAAAGCCTCTCCTGTGTAAGCCTCTCCTCACAGCCCCGTGCTCAGGGTGATCACATTTCAAACAGGGATCCTCTGCCCTCGACACTCAGCCTGCGAGTGCCCAGAGGGATGGATGCAGCTGGGTGTACCCCCAGGGGACTGCTGCGTTCCTGCCTGGCATCCATCAGTCACCAGCCTGCAAGTTCTCCTCTCACTTCCGACCTCCAGTTCAGAGCATGCAAAGCAATTCCTTCTCCTCGCTCCTATCACTCAGAAATGTCCACAATCCTTCACACTCCTCTCCTGTAACTCTGAAAAAGTTACCCAACTGTCAGCAAAAGCCCCTAGCAGCTCTTGGTGAAGGTGCATGTGCATGCCTGCACGCACAGGCGCTTGGCAGCAGCTCCGTGCAGCTCCAGCCCAACAGAAACCTTTCGGATTTAAGCTATGTTTTAAGATGAATGCGAGCTTCTCACTTGTTAGGTATTCTTTCTGAAGACTCTGCAGAGATAATAGGAGTGGAAAATCTGTTCAGGCAAGTCTTCTTTTCAGAAACTAGATCCTAAATCAGAACTCACAAGATTTTCCATTTTGATCCCCTTACCTAAATGAGGGGAATGCTCGTGAACACAGCTGCCCAGGTCCTCAGTATTTCCAGTTCTAAAAAAAGCCAAATTTACAAATGTTCAACTGTTGATGTTTTATTCTATCGTAAAATTAAATTGAAAATAATCACCCTGCCAATAATTAGAATGGTTGATGATTAAACATTTACTTTGAAACTGTAAGGCTGAAATTGGTTCTTCAACTATTTTTATGTTAAAAAGCAAAGCATTTGGCTTGAGTAAGTGCTGAAAGAATAAGCAGTGAAGAGGCAATTAATATCAAAATGTGGACTTGCTAATTAAGCAACAAAGCACCAGTAACTTCCTGCCAGAGGAGACGTTTAGCTAAGAATTTTGTGTATTACGTTATTCATGGAATCATAGAATATCCCGAGTTGGAAGGGACCCATAAGGATCAGCGAGTCCAACTCCTGGCACCACACAGATCTACCCAAAATTTTAGACTAAGTGCACAGTCCAAACACTTCTGAAATTCAGACAGGTGCCGTGACTACTTCCCTGAATCCTTCACTACTTCATATGAATATTTTTAATTATTCTTAACAACTCACAAGCAGACGAGAAGTCACAACTGGTGGTTAGCAGAGAGGTCTCCACTGATTTTAATCTGTGCCAAGAAATCACCGTCCCACAAACCGTCACGTACCACAGACACCGAGCAGCGAGCAGGTCGTTGGTGCTTTAGGGGCACACGCAGCTGCAGAGCCCACGTTTAACGTGGAGGGGCAGAGAACGACTCTTACGAGGGAGCTCAAGCAGCAGAGAAGACAACACACAGAAAACCCATCCGAGCAATGCAGTTCCAGCTTTTCACTTTCCATCTAGCAGTATCTTTTACACTTAACTGCTGCTTGTGGATATGATAGCAGGTTCTCCTTTATGTCAGGAGCTTAAAATTTAGAGACCAAAAGTCTCAGCATCTCCTCGCTTTCTTAACAAGAATGGGTTAGACCTGAGCACCACTCTCTCTCAGCTCTGCAGGCAAGCACTCCACCTGCTCGCAGCCTAACAGGCACACCAGTGTGAACATGCAGGAGAGTAAACAAAGGGATTAGAAATGCAGAATAAGCTCCAATTATCAATATCAACTCGTTAATCATGAAAGTACATGTTTAGGACTGATAAAATACAGATGTGGCTCACACTGTTCTCATGCCTTTCTGCCATGAAATCCTGCAAGCCGTCCTTAAGTTCTTTACTGGCTTATCAAACCTCTCTCTTTATCCCTCCTAACAGCTGTCTGCAAGCAGCAGTTCAAGCACTAATCAACCACTGAGCAATCTTTTCATTCATAAGACAAATACTTTTTGTAACCAAATCACATGTTCAAAGTGTTGTACATTTAAACATTGACCTAAAATGGAACAAGATAAATTTAAACACAAGAAATGTTATCCAGAAGTGAAAAATATGATAGCACAGCCCTTTTTTTTTTTTCTTTTTCTTTTTTTTTTTTTTTTAATAAGCAGCCTAAAATACGCACGCAATTCCAACATACCCTTCCCCTGGAGCTGTAGCAGTCTTGGTATAAAGTTCTCTTTTGGACACCCATCTTATGAAACGAAGAATTGGTCCCTGGTGACTTGGCACTGACCAACAGCACTTCAACATGAGGATACACCCCTTCAAAACAATAGAACAAACTAAAGCAGCATACGAGTGGATTTATCATTCCTATTACTTCTGTGTATGAAGGCCCCAGATGACACCCGACAGTTTGTCCTGGGACTGCAATCCTGCGACAGCCACCAGTTCGCTTTTGAGAAACTGGCTACTGACTTCCCCAACCACCTGCAAGTTGTTTCGGTCCATAATTAGTCTTCTACACATCCTCATACAGCATTTAGTCAATTCTGCAAGATTGCCGTTTTCATATCATGAACCATAACAGGATTTTGTTAACGTTTTCTCTTAGTAGGAAAAAAAAATAAAAATCACAGGAAGAAAAAGTATGGTTTGGGGTTATAAAGCAGCTCTGGACAGTAAGAAGCAGGGAATTCTTTTTCTCATGATTAAAATTTTAAACATTTGAGCGTAATCATAAATTAAAAGTTAAAACATAGAGGCACTAATAATAAAATATTAAATAGACAATGATAGTGGATAAAAGCTGAATGGCTCATTCTGAATGAAATCCCATTATTTTACACATGCCTAAATGCCTACAGGTTTCCTTACTAGACTGTATTGCTGAGTGACAGACACACCAAAACACACAGTGAAGCTTCTCATAGCCAGTTGGAACAATAAATTGCCTGATGGAATGGCGAGAGATGAACAAGTTATTTATGTTGCAAAAAGTACTTAAATACTCAATAAAGACATAACAAACCCCACCCCACCCCCACTGTTATCAGACGCCACGTTGTGGTAGAACATCAGACAAACTCACAAATTTACCACAAAAATGTGTGGCAAAAAGAATATTTTATATATATGTATATATATAAATTTTTATATTTATGCCAATGTACTCACTCAGTACAAATAGCAAAATAGTATACCATTTCCTAAATACAAAATATAGCTTTCCAAAAAAATGAAACACACATTAGATATAAACCATCCAAAACTTGAACGATTGAAAACTGTATTCAAAATTAAATGACCCAGAGCAGGTCTCTTTCTGAAAAGTTCCCTTCATATCGGCAAGAAGCCTTACTACTGAAAACGTAATTCAATGCCTCTCAATGAGAGAGAGAAAGAGAGAGACAGAAAGAGAAAAGAAAGTTATGACAGACTGACACACAGGAAACAACATTAAAACAAACAAAAACTCTACACGGCTCAACTAAGCACACGAGTTAGGGAAAAAACACAGTAAACAGACTAGAGTTACTTAAAAACCATTTACAGACTACTCTTTGTTATTTAAAATAACAAAAATGAAAAATGACGTGATACCAGCTACACTATACCGAGGCATAATAGCCATACATGACAGCTGTTCGGCTCTAGCTGCGCTAACAGCTTTCTACGTGCAGAAGGAGAAGGAACAAGTATCGGGACGAGGCTGTAGTGAGATATCACAAAACCTTCTGGACAGTCAGAGCACCCGGGAAATTCACATGCCTCACAACACAACTGCATGGTTTGGAGTGGGTTGTCTTTACATTCTGTAACAAGTCGATTTTTTTCATTGAAACATGACGATCTAGAAGCTATACTTGGGGGACTGTCAGTAGGAAAAAGAAAAAAACACTGAGTTTGCAATGAGCTCAATCTGGTACAAAAACGCAACAGCTCAGGATGACGTGAAATTTTCAAGAACGCATAAAAATTCTGTAATTTGCCCCCTCCTTGGAGTAAAGTCAAACTGGAGATTTACAACAACAAGAGCTGGAAAATGGCTGGTTAAGGGGGTTTCTTGCATTTAGAGGGAAGTGGAAAAATTGTTTCCTCTTTCCTTAATCCTTATTTCTCAGAGCTTCTACTGACTAAGCAATTTAATATCACAAGCGTTAGGTGCCGTGGATTCCTAAAAGCTGCTTCTGATCTTTAAAGCCAGTAGATATCTATAACATTTTTAAAAACACAATGTGAAACTGAGGAAGAGAGAGGGAAAAACATGAAAATAACAAAAGGGAGAAGACTGGTTTGAAAATGGATAATGCAGCTTTAACAAGATCTGACCCATACGGTCAGAGCGAGAGACACAAAAGGAGCTGCTTCCTTAGCCAGGCAGAATGTTCCTTTCAAGTGGAAGGTATTTAAGAGGACAAGATTTTTAGAGTATAATTTAATTAAAAGTTCCCCTTCATTTCTTCATTTTGTTAGAGCCACCAAACCCTTACTCTATGTACAGGTACACGTAAGAGACACAGAAAACCGTTATCACATTCTCAGATGGGAAGCACCCACCTCTGTCTGGCTATCTACAGTAGCAAGCAGTTCTCTGCTTGTTTATGAGAAGTATCAATATTTTCATTGCCACCTACTGCAATTAATAAATCACAGTATTAGCTCTCCCACTTATCTGTAAAACATGCAATCCCTTCACTTACTGATAGCTATGAGTCATGGCTCATGTCACGGGTATTTGATGGTTCTGCTTCACTAGCTTTTCTAACCAAAAGAGGGGATGTGAAGAAGGAAGAGGAGGAAAAAGTAAACATGGTAACATGTATTACCTTCTAACAACAATAATAACTGACCAGATATGCTTCAAATTCAAAGAGCATCCCACTCTTAGAGGGCATTAAGAGTCAGGTAACAGTACGATCCCATGCCCGAGTAAAACAAAGCATAGCTTTTCAGCATTATTGGCACTATGAATCTTGAATCTCAAATACTACAATCACAGCCTTAGGTGCTAGACACTGCAATTGGCCACATATGTGCTCTTTAGAGAAGAGGGCCACTTTTTGACAGGAGCAATCAGTTCCACGCTGCCTAATCCAGAGTCACAAGGTCTGAAAGAATCTACGAAGTCATCACCTCTTTCTTCACTGAATTTCTGCAGGGAAAAAGGCAAGCAAAAAAAGACAATTAACGAAAGTCATCCTCTTACTTCGAAGTAGCTTGAAAGTGTCCTTCACAAGCAGACATGATACTATGAGTACTACCAGAATGCAACACTCATTCAAACAGCAGGATTACTTCCCTTCCACTCACGTTCATAACTTCACTCAAAACAGTTTCACTTCAGTGAAGCTTCTGGGAGATTTAGGGTGTCAACCAGTTTTTCTAACGCCAAGTTACATACTGTGGACAATACTAGATTCCAGAGTCCCACTGTTCTCAGTACTCATTCGTAGTCAAAGCCTCTCTCACCTCTCTGAAAAAGGCATCTTCTAAGAGCAGAATGTTTCCTCGAAAGAGCCAATCCTCTCAGCTCGTTTTTAACAGGCTCACCACAGGACACACAATACCCACCATATTCTACAGAAATTTGTTTTCACATTACATTATTGTAACCCAGAAGGCAACTTCGGAACAGTACAGACCTGAGGTGTGTTACCCAATAAGCCTTAAGTTTTCACCTGCAACCATATTTTATAATGCTTTTATCTGCCAAGCTGTTAGATTCACTCGCTCCTTCCTAATAAAGAACTGGATAGCAGATGACAAAACACACAGAAATCAAACAATAAACCTGTCTCAGCCAACTGTTTCATAGAAATTCTGACCTTTGACTGTTTTAAATCATTCTTCATTGTAACCACTGATACTGTGCTCTTAATTCAGCATTGCTGATATTGTAGCTGACCTCCTAAAGCATGGTGATACAGTCATGGGGAAAACTTGCTGAACAAATCGTGTGTGGCAGGAAAGAACCTGTAAACCCAAACACATTACTTACTTACCTAACTAAAACGAGCCAGCCATGTTGTTCCCCTGGTTTTGCAGTGACACAAGCAGATCATCTATTTTCTCAATATTCTGATTGGGTGCCATAGCTGAAGGTAGAGGAGAAGTCTCAGGTAGCTGCTGGGAGAGAAGCGTTGGCACTGCTGCTTGTCCCTCACCCTGTGGCTGACCTGGCTGGCTTATAGCCATCAACTCATCTGGCAGTGCCGCTGGTCCAGAAGGTAGCAACTGGCCACAGTCTGTTAATGAGCAAGTGAAGAACAAAAGGACCATTTAAATTATGTTAACACATGTAGTAAATTAGCCTAACTCTTTATACATATCCATATTGACTATAAATTCTATAGAAGGTTACAGGCAGTTTTGTTCACATGATCACTGTTGCTTACCACCCCCTCAAAGTACAAGCTCAAGGTATACACACTGTCTTATGGACTCTGTGTTATACCTATTAATATCCTATTATATAGCAATATATTAATATATACATATAAGCTATATATATATATATATATATAAACAATCTATAGCTAGACAAAAAACAAGATGTGCAGCTCAGAGAAGTATTGGGTATGCCCATGCTTTGTCTTTACAAATTACAGCTGTGTATTTTTCAGGTCAGGAATGCACAGCCCTTTACAGACAGATGAAGTGACCTGTATCCCAAGGAACTTACACTAACGGCTGGATTCAGAGATGAGATACAGGAAAATGCAGACTTATAAAGTTAAGGGAGTTTCAAATACACTTCAACAGACACTTTTCTGAACGATGCAGCTTCAAAAATCTTTCGTTTTCTTCAACAACACGTGGAAAAAGTAATTGCAGAAATTTTGAAAACCAAATACAGTAAGAGAAAGATTAGTGGAGCTGTCTTAAGAGAAAATTTGTTGTTTTTTTTTTTTTGCAGGTGTATATATATTTTATTTGTATATCTATTGTCAGTATTATATTTTATATCGATATTTCTATATAGATATACATAAAATTCTAGGTTGTTTCTGTTGCATACTAATTCTAAGTGTAAGAAACCAACAGGTATTTAAGCTAAGAGTTCTCTTACACCGCTAAGAGCAACATGAGCCACAGGAATACATACATACACCCTCAGCTGTACTGCTACATTACTTATCTCAGGAGTTTTTGAAAAGTTAATACAGAATTGAACAATCATTGTCTCGTGGACTCCAATTAGTAGCTCTTCTAAACTCTACACTCTGAATTAGGCATCTACCACTTACTGTTCTGAATGCCAAACAGGAATATTCCTGAAGTTTGCTGAGATGAAGCAGGAGAATTCTGCAGCTGGTTGATAGCACCTCCTGCTGCGTTGTGAAATAAAGAAGCTTGCTGCTGTGGAGGAGAAGCAGTTCCTTGCATTCCTGCCATGCTGTTTTGGGAAGAGAACATAGGAGACTGCTGTAGCTCTTGCTGGCTCATACTGTTCTGCAAGGCAGACATGGAAGCTGAAGAGATGAAGAGGGTGACCTGCTGCTCTTGAGAACTTGGTGACCCTTGGACCAACTGAATTTGGGGTGAGTTATGGAAGATGGCTGGCTGCTGTGCTTCGGCCTGGTTGGACCCAGGGTTCTGTAGAGAAGACACTGTGGTTTGACTCTGGAATTGCATGGGCTGCTGCTCCTGGTTCATCGGTGCCATGTTCGTCTGTGGATGAAAAATGGACTGGCCTTGTTGCTCCTGATTAGTAACCGGGTTTTGGTTCGGGTTGAAAATCATGTTTTGTTTTTGAGAAGCAATGGTACTCATTGCACTTTGATTGCTGAACATCATGTTCTGCTGCTGCTGCTGCGGCTGCTCTTGAGATGGAGGACTACTCTGAATTGCAACTATCGAATGCTGGGGCTGGAAGATAGCTCCTTGTTGGTTCTGGGGGATTGAACTGGACTGGATGGAGCCCATTGACACTTGAGGCTGAAACAAACCTTGCTGAGCAGGCTGAGTCTGCGGCTGTTCTTGGGGAAGCATAGAACTCTGGATGTGAGATATCTGTGTCTGCTGCTGGAAGGAAGTTGGTTGCTCAGTGTTTGTTGCTGCCTGAAGAGGAGAAATGGAATTCGGGCTTGTAAAGAACGACATCTGTTCCTCTTGAGATGCTGGGTTGCTTATTGAACTCTGGGAAAGGAACATGTTGGCAGACTGCTGGTCTTGAGGAACTGAAGAGCTCTGTAATACGCCCATGGTGCTCTGTGAGTGGAACATTGGAGGCTGCAATTGGTCGGAGGAATTAGTACTGGTCTGGTTGTGGACAATGGAATTTGGACTGTGAAAAATGGAGCCTTGTGTTTCCTGTGGCATATTCTGAGTATCACCAATAGGATTCTGAGAATGGAAAAGCTGAGCTTGTGAGTGTGCAGACTGCTGCATAAAGTTTGCTGGCTGAATAGACATGATTTCTCCACCCTGCTGGAACAGACCACCCCCTTGTTGTTGAGCTCCACTTGCCTGAACAGACATCATGTTTTTTGTAGATGAAAAGAGATTAACTTGAGGCTGACTTTCTCCACTGTGCTGCATTTGAACCATGGTCTGAAATACAGAATTTTGTATCTGTTTACTCTGTCCTGAAGCTTCCTCTCCATCTGCAGAACTTGATGCCTGAAACATATTGGGCCCATTGTTAGAGACCTGCTGCTGAGCAGTCGGAGTAGTCTCACTTCCAGAAACACCGGGAGATGAAGAGAATAATTCACACTGCATTTGCATGTCTTCGCTTGTTGACAACCCACTCATTATATGTGAAGCCTGCTGGTAAACAGGTGACTGTTGGAGGGCTCCGTTCCCTGAAGTTGTTGAAGAGAACAAATCAGACTGCATCTGCGTGGCAGCCTGGCAAATGTTTTGTTGGATTCCTATCACCATTGCTGCGGAAGTCTCCATCGCCTGCTGCTGCTGCTGTTGCTGCTGCTGCTGATTGGACAATGCATTTTCAGGCTGTGAATGAACATTTTCACCTCTTCCAGGCAAAAGGTTCTCTGGTCTGGAATGGACAGCCGTCTCTGATGAGGAAAATATCCCAGGATTTTGTATCTGACTGACTTGCTGAAAGATATCTGCATTTAGCTGATCTTGAACATCCTCATTGCTCTCTGACCCAGAAAATAGAACAGAAGATAACTGCTGTTGAGCTTCCAGTACCTGCTGCACCAAGTCAACATTTCTATTGCTGCCTGTGGCAGTGTTAGTTGGAAAATTTCCAGCTTGCAGTTGCTGTATTGTGTTCTGTAACTGACTCACACCACTTGCTGATGAGAAAATACTTGATGAAATTTGTTGCTGTAATGCCTGTGCTGGTTCTGATAGTGTAGACTGTTGTGTCTGTGATCCATCAGTTAATTGTGACAGAGTGACAACCGTGCCATCTGATTGCAAAACTTCTCTGGTTTGGGAATCTCTCGTTTGGAACTGTGCAGCTTGCTGCAATAATGTGTCACTGTTCTGCAGCTGACCTGGAGTAGAGACTGCTGAAAAGCTACCAGGCTGGGAAATGTCCTGCGTTTGGATTGTAGTTAGAGTCTCTGGATTATACACCTTCGGCTGTATTTGTTGCTGCTTTTCACTTTCAGAAGGTAAATGGGAAGCAGAAGTTGGTATGCCAGACATGCTGCTTTCCAATGTTTGCTGAGTTGGTCCGACCACCTTCGAAGCCTGAAAAGAGCAGCAATACATTAAGCCATTCACATGCTTATTCAGGTTACGCTCATCAGATTTCCACCAGTCCACCATGTTCAGGAAAGACCAGATGGAAGATTTGATGGCTAGGCATCTTTCCATACATAACCAGAGGAGCAAGCAAATGACTGGGAAAACAGTGGAAATTCCACTTCAAGGACAAGTCATAGCACAATTCGATGAAAGCAATACCAAGAAATTATTATAAAAAAAAAACCCTCACAATAATTTACTCATTCTGTGTCACAGGACAAAAAGAACATTCATCACAGCATCACTCACTAACCAATCACTGCTGGCATGCAGGGACAAGAAAAGTTACTTTCTAAGGAAATTGTCCATTACTTTAATCATGCTGATCATGATGTGATCATATGTTTTGGCCAGACTGATCTTGGATGTGACATTTCCTGTGTGTTCCTCTTCTCCACTCTTCAGGACATGGGCTGATGAGGTTAATACTATTAAAATCAGTATCTTCAGATCACAATTAAACTTACCTTGAAGACAGGGGGAGATCGTTTTTCTGCGCTTACTTCCATTGGAGCCACATCTTCATTCTTAATCATACTGCTTGGTATAAGTGGAGTTATCAAGGCACTAGGAAGAATATTTACGTTCTCTGGGTTACAACTGGTGGCATTCACTGCTGCAGTCACAAATAAAAAGAAAAGAAGGGAAATGAAATGTGAACATCCACCATACAAAGCACGGTTTTCTAGTGGTGGCCTGCTTCCCATTTAACTTTTGAGCCCCGCCATAAGAGCTCGCATTCTCTTGTAAGATGCTAACATGCAAAGAAATCACTGCAACCATTTGGATACTTCAAGTAATCTTGGAGATTTACAGTAATATTAACGTTTTTACTTAATTCTTTATTTTTTTTGGGCCAGGACAATCATCCACCGACTGCCTGGAAGTGCAAACAAATGATTAATACATCTTTCCACAAAGTACAAATTTATTTTACTTCACTTTAGCTGCACAACTACTCTATTTTTTTAAATGTCTGTTTTCAGACAAGTGCATGAACAGAACACTCAATGAGTTCAGACAGTATTTTTATTCTGTTAAAGGACTAGCCAAGTGAAAACTTGATATATCTGCGTGCCAGCTCTCTATCAAGAGCAAGCTGTTGTTTTGCCTTTACAGTGCCTGTATTTTTTTCTTTTTGAAGTAAAAAGGTGTCTCTTCTTGAAATGAATTAGATCTCTTCAGTTTTGATTTTTCCTGATCCAGGTAAAAAAAACACATTACATAACATATCTGAGATCTTTGCTGTAAGTAAAATTAGCTTCCTTGATTTAAAATACTGCTGAAAGTGTTTGAGCTTAAAACGAACCAATGGAAAAACCTATAAAAATACATATAGATCTGTGGGTTTTAAGTAAATTAAAGAATTCTCTTCAACATACAGTAAGAAATCTCCATGCCTTAAACAGATTTAAATCTTACAATAACATGGCAGTAAAATTTCTGCAAATTTGTATCAACAGTATGCTATGTCCTTGGTCACAGTCCTTGTGTGCTTATTCTATGTACAACCAACATTCTCTCCTGAAATGTTATTTTTTGTCTTCGGCAATAAATTCTCAGCCATCAGTATGCCAACAGTCGTCAGTACACAAAGAGCCAAATAAACTCTTTCCCTCCTCCTACTAACTCGCATATTTGGAACAGCCCCAAAATACAGGCCACGTGATGTGACGTGCTGGGCTTGGGCTGTACTTCTGGCAGGGACTGCAATTTGAGTGAAAAACTCAACTACGCCAACTTCAGGACAGCCAGGCATACACAGCGGTCAGTATTTTTCTATACCTTAGTCACAACTGACAATTTTTTCTCGTTTACATGCTTAATCCTGTCATGTTAAACAGAAATGATAAAAATTTACATATAAATAATTAAAAAATCCTGATGCTACACAGATTAGTTGCTAGCAATGGTGTGTTGGTTCACAGTGACACACCTGGTTGGAAGGATAAGAAAAAGAAATGAGATTAAGAATGAAAAAGGAATGAAAGAATGAAAGAAAAAGGTCCTGTGCAGGACCTTGGCAACTGTTTATTCCATTTGTCCAGGGCTGCAGTAAATGATGCCACCTAAACTATGAATTCTATGATGTTGCTCCCAGTGAAGAGAAACTGGAAAAAAGCAGCATCCCAGTGGATCCCACCTGCTCTTTATCATTTCAGAAGAGTGGTGAAGGATAACCTGGGACTTATGCAGAGACAATGTACATAATGCAGACAAAATTGCCTGACCTCAGGTTCACATTCAGCCTGAAGCAGAATAGGAACAGGAATGAGTCGACCAAAAAGCTAGCTAGCAGAAAATCCACACAAGAAAATTAAGTTTCTACCACAAATTAAATACAAGGACACAAACCAATACGAAGAGCACACTGTTCTTATGAAGAGCAGATGTTCTCCTGAAGCAGTTGGTATCTTGCCTTGGCTAAGCCTCCACACTAGATTAGATACATGTCAGGCTTGCCCTGATACATCAGTTATTATTATCCTTATCTTTTTAATCTTGCTACTAAGAAGTTTTACCAGTACTTTTATCAGCTTGCTTCAATGCCCTACATGTTTTTGCAAATTTCTCCCTGAATATTCTCTGCAGGTTTAAACTCATCGTATCTTGTATTATCCTCCCGAACAAGTTGTAAAGTCAACTTGTAAATATATCCCCTGCCAAGGCTCAATATACAGCTATTAACTTTAAACATGAGCTTCATGATTTTAACCTGAAGCTATGGATTCCTATCAAACTTGTGATCACGTTGTTAATTTGCTTACCTTTCAACCTGCTTTCACCAGAGCAGGCTATGGAAATTTCCATTAACCTCTGTACACCTCCATAGTTTTAACAACCAACTCAGAAACATTTCCTTCCTTTATTTCAGTATAGGAAGGATCAATTCACCTCACTTAAAATCCAGGCAAACCAAAAAGCTGCTCCCTTAGAACAAAATAACAACCCTTCCATGGACAAAATGCAAATCTCAGAATTGCACTGAAAGCAATCCTAAAATCACTAGGACAGCTTCTACTCTGTCTCTGCTACTACCGTAGCTTTATATCTTTAAGGAAAAATGACAAGTATGTTAGGGTTTTTCAGTGCTGAGTTTTTATTTTTTCCCTTTCACTTTTTTTTGGGTTAAATTAACACAACATAGATTTGAAATGCTTTGTATTAACAGCCATACTAAGTTTCTCTCCTCTTCGTTTAATATTCTTGCAAAGAAAGAAGACTGAAATGCAGGGCCCAAGGCACAAAAAAACCCAAACCATTTTTAAAAAATTATTTTTGCAGAGTTTCTGCTCTGCACTATCTCACGTTACAATATACTTAAAGGAATATGGTTATGAAGCAAAATATTCTGGATTTGAAATCAAACATTAGTGTAAGAATATGGCCAGATTTTATGAGTACATATTTATCCCCACAGCACAGCTGATTCATTCCTGCAAAATTTGAGTAGGAATTTATAGTTAAATTATTAACAATAATGATAAGAATCAATTTAGTACCTTTTATAGCCTCTTCAAAAGAACAATGTTGGGCTGGGCTGGAGATTTCCTTCTTCACTTTAACATTCAGGGTACCAGCTGCTGAGGGAAAACACATTGAAAACTTCCTTATGCTAAAACAGCAAACAAGCAAAAAAATCCCAAACTCAAAGCAAACTAAAACAGTTACTTATACCTTGAAGTAACTAAAGCTCTTTGAAAACCACAGAAACAACCTTTTTTGTGAATACACCAGTAATTCTAATGCCCACAATATCATTCATTTTCACTTCCAAAAACGAAAAAGCCCGTCAGCTACTGCACCGTACATTGTCATACAGATAAATAAATACAAATACACGATGCAGTCAAACTGCAGCATTCCTTGGGATAAAGCTTGGTGCTAGTTTTTCTTGTATTTGGTGCACTGTATGTAGCTTATCTACTATTTTTCCTTACTTTCCTAGTAGAAATGCCTAAGAACAGCAGCCTACATGCAACTGAAACTTGAGCTACTTGTCACATAAATGAATAATGAAATCTAAGGGCTTGGCTCTCCTTGGCAGAGCAAATCTCAACAAGAGGAGTTCAAAAACATCCGTATTACCTAACATTTATATTATTTACGGTCTAGACACTATGCAACCAGGAACAAAAGGTTTAGCAGGTAAAACTGTCCGTTCCTTCCCCCGTTTCCTGTTTTACATACATGTATCTGGAGTGTATGTAAATGGCTGCACATCGTGTGATCGGCCAGCGTTGGTCACCACATAGATTCCCACAGAAACAGCTGAGGTTATTTGCTGGTCATGATATGGTGGCACCTTCACAATAAGGTGATTCTGCAATGCAAAAATAATAAAAAAATCATATTAGAAAACTTAATTCATTATTATTGATTATATCTACATCCATCAAAACACAGAAACAGCCTACTAAAACACTAGAAAAATGGGGAAACATGGTCAAGTTACAGGTTCAGCAAAGTCAGTTGGCAGCAGTTCTTGTGCTACAACAGAGATTTGAATATTCTGCCCACATGATGCTCAGGCAACTTACAGCTCAACTGAAATGTGCAGAAAGGAAAAGCATATATATAAAGTCCAGTACTTTCAACAGAAACTTATGCCTAACATGCCTGAATGAACTGCGATCCATCTGCCATAACACTGCTGGAATCAGATACCTCACTGTTCTGCTGAATCAGACCTTTGTATTCGGTGTGGACAGAGGATGCAGTCTCATGTTACACTTAAGCAGATTTAACACTGAGCAGACACCAAAAATATGCTTGCAATCATCCAAGAGTGATAGCGCTGAGTGAACTATAGGCTGTCTACTCCCCCACTACCTGTCCATCCACTGGAAAAGGAAAACACAAAGCAAAGGAAAATGGAGCACTGCCTTCAGAGGTGGGAGCACATCTGTCAGGCATCGTGTACATTCAATAACTTCTCTAATTTCAGTCTGATAACCCATAAAGACACTCATTTATATGAAAAAGAATGAATACATATTCTGAAAAACATTTCAAAGTGGACCCAAAATTCAGCTGAGTGTAAAGACTGTGGTGTACACACAATATATTCCCACCCAATAGCAATCTCATAGGAAAGATACTAGAAAAAAACTGTATTAGGCCTTTTCATTAAATTGCACGTGAGGGCAAATGCTCACCCACAAAGTTCATATACCACACTCCTCCTGTGCTATCTATGTTCCCAGTTAGGAACTAAACAATTCGACTTGCATAGACCTGACTGACAACAACGATAGCCTACCAGACTCACTGCAGAACTCATCTGAAGGAGTGTTATTTATAGAAATGCACAGGAAGAGGGGAAGGCTTTAACAATTTTCCTTCGGAAGAGTCAGAACTAGTCAGCCACCGGGTAAATCAGGAAGCCTGTAACACCACCTTTTATTTTCAATAGAACTGCAGGTTGTATTGTCTAAGTGGCTTTAATGTAGCTTCTGTTTCAAAGATGACACTTCTGGACATCAGATTTTAAAGCCTGATCTTCACAAAAGTGCTACTTTCATGCTGGAATAGCAGTGTTGCCTTATTCCAGCTGACACAAGGCTATACAAGAAGTACTTCTGCACACTACCTGGGGATGCTTCACTTCAGACAGGTTTTAATTAGAATCTGTGCATGGCAGCTTCCAAAGTACACATTGATCAGTAATACACACAGAATGTCACTCATCCAAAAAGTTCAGCCGGGCCGGCTGCCAACTGCCTCCTACCTCTTTTCTTCCACACAGCAGTTCTAGACCAGTTTAGGCACTTAATGAACACATTGCTTTTTTGTTCTATTTTTTAATAAACTGAAAAACAGTATCATGTAAAAAAAAAAAAGTACAGGTCCAACAGAATCTCATCTCTCATCTTTGGAAAGAGCGATGGACTGCAAAATAACAATCCCAAAAGAGAAGCTTGCTACTAGAGCAGAGAGGCTGTCCCTCTAGAGAAGAAGTGTTTATTATCAGTTTAAAACAAAACTAGAAAAGTCTTTTTTTCCCTTTTCCTTCCTCAATAGCACTGACTGAAAACAAAAACACTGGGTACATTTTCCATCTCTAATCAACATGAGCCCCACACATGGTATTTTTAGCACAAGTGAAATCTTTCTGAACTCTTTTTCCTTGCATTTTATGCATACTACTTTGCATTTTATGCATGGTAAGCCATTGCTCCTGGCCCACAGTTGCCAAGACACTGATATAAAACCTAACTATCAGATCTTGATGATATCAAAAAGGAGTATTTTCCGGTATTTATAAAAGAGCAAAATAGTAATTTAGAAAAACAAAATAAAAGTAATAATCAGAAGTACCTGATGAAATAATTCCATGTCTATTTCAGCTTCTGCCTTCCAAGAATTTTCATCTAAATGAAAGTTAAAAAGCATAATTTATTGCATATCCATATAAAGCAATTTATTTTAGTGCCTTTGATTCAGCTTCTCAGTTTGCTCCCTACAGCTAAACTGTATGAAACAACATAAACCCAAACATGCTCTCTTCATCACCCCAAGCTGGTATCGCTTTCACACTAACCAGAAACGTTCTCTTGGAAAATCACTTTTGTTCCTTTTAGAAAGTTCTTGCCAATCAGAAAAACTTCCTCTTCACCCTTCACCGAACAACTGTGCAGACTTTTCTTTAGGATCTCTGGAACTCCTGCTGGTTGAGCTGCAATTGAAAAAACACATAGCTTGAAATCCAAGAAAATATTAACATCCAAAACAAAGAGCTTTCACTGACAGGATTACAACTTACTTCTGTCACTTACAGGAAAGAATAAAATAATTCCTAAATGTCTTCCTTTGCTTTATGATTTGTGACAAAAAAAAAGTATATATATATATGCATATATTCTCACTTCTTTGCTAAATGTAACAACATAAATGCATAAAATCAGAGAATACCACCATTAAAAAAAAAAAAAAAAACACTGAAAAGAACAATTTAGCAAAAAATGTCAGGAGGAAGAAAAAAATGAGGGACAGGAACACCTCAAGCTGATCTTTCAAGAAGACCACCCCAAAATGTCAAAATAATGCCTAAAGCATAAAACGTGGCCAAAGAGAGCAGGAGAGTCTGCCTGTGCATCAGCAGTGACATTCCTTTGGTTGGGCAAAGGGATTCTTGGTGAGAGCAGTGCACTGGGAGAGTCCGGGCTGCACATGCAGCACAGCTGCTAATCAGCCTGTAGCTGAATATAAAACCATATAAATACCTATGGATACATATACGAATCATATAAATGTTATATATATAATTGCCTGCTGCCCACAGCACTGTGGTATCTGATGTGCTTTTAATCATCCCCTTACAATCTGTCCTTTCACTGGCAGCAAAGCTGCAGTTTCTGAGGAGTTGAATAGGAGCCCTGATACAACAGGTATTGACTGTTAAAAAAATATCAAGAAAAGCAGCCTCAGATGTACCATGGCCTCCTCTGATTTCATTTTCCATGGTGTTCATTGCAACCTGAACAGTCAATGCAGCCATCTGTGCTCAGTGCTAAACAGAGCATTTTAATAAATAGCTATAAAAGGTTTCATTCTTCCACTGAACCAGAACAGATCCCCCCTCTGGGCTCAATGCACTCCCACATCTGGGACGAGCCATGCTGAGTAACTTATTACAAGTAATTTCTATCACTGAAAGCTGGCAGATGAAAGTGACAGTACAGAAGGGATTAAAACCTGTATCAAAAAAGTCATTATCAGTTCAAAGCAATCATGACACAAGTTCTCGTCTCTTGAAAGGCAAAAAATCATTTAATAAGAGATTAGGCAATTTGTAACTACTTTTAAATACTAGTCAGCCATTCAACACCCCCCTCCAAATAAAAATAACCCATCCTGATTTTAGCCACAGCAACTCAAATGATCACAGACCAACATTGTGGTCCCACCACACTTCAATCACACTGAAATCCAGAGTCCTCTAATAGCAAACCTTTTATTTTGATACTTACTGCACAGAATTGGGGAAGAAGGCGTCTGGAGAGTCAAAGTTGAACCATCTTTGCGAGTGATGTTAACACGAAATACCAGCCTGGCACGTGTGCTTTTTTTCTTGGAACCAGCAATCCCTATCCTAGCTTCAACATCAGCATTTCTCAGCTTCAGTATTCCCACACAATCAACCCTAATGACACAAAGTAGTTGAGAGTTTAATAGAGTTTAATAAATTCATCCTCTTTTAAAATATTTTGACTAATCGATTAAACAAGCCACAAAAAAGTCAGAACTCTTGAAGTAGAAATATTATTAGATTAGTCACATGAAATCTCTGCATAACCTCTCATTATATAGTCCTGCCCTCGATTCATCCCTACTTAATTTGGATGCTGAATCATAGGAGGAAGGAATGTGAAAGAACTATGAATAAAAAAGAAAACGCAACATAACAAAATTATTCTGGTAAGCATTCAATTATCACTACAGATCTTTATTCTTCCATTCCTCTGCGTTTGCAGGGTTACTACTACAAAACGTTCTGGACAACAGCTAGGGAATGGAGATAAGTGTGATAAGGGAATTAATCACACTTAAGAAGCAGACACTGCAAATTGAAGAAATGCTTCTGTTGACATCAAGACAAGTTTCTTAAGAAGTGACAGCTTTCAAGCACAACCACATATTGCTTTGAAAGAAAAAAAAAAAAGAAAAAGACATTCTACTGAAAAACATACTTGAGAAGATCACGCCTTTTCTATAACTTAAAATACATGTGAAAAGCTTTTAGGGGAATCACTTCTATCTGAAATTTCTTGTGAGATCTACACAGACACAAGAGGCCATTTGCTCAAAAATCTGCTACACTTGACAAGGGTCACTGGACTGGGTTTATCCCTTTCGAGCAACAGCCATATACTGTTTAAACGCATCTGAAAACCTGTTGTATCCAAGACGTTGTCTATATTTGACCAGATTGCTCTGTGAAGATAGGAAAGCACTAGGCTTTCATGACAAAGGACTGTCTGATAGGAATGGCAGTAATGGAACAAAGACAGATGAGAAACCTCAGAATTTAGCCTCCAAAATCCCCAACCTTTCTGGGCCCTAAAAGGATCTGAAGATCCCAGTGTTCGCCTTCCCTCTCTTCTGATTAGCCATTTCATACTTGCTAAGAGAGACAACCAATGGAAGCAGTGACATCGTAATTCAGGTAATGCTTGAATATGTTCATTATTCTTTAAACAGTACATGAACATGGATTTAGAAGTTTATTATTCATGCAGCTTCACTAAGAGCCTGACTTGCTGAGATACTAAACAACCCAACTGAAAGAGGAAGGCCAGTTTCTGAAAATAAGCTAATAAAGTAAAATATATAATTGAAATAGCTACTCACGCGAGTGTCATATTGTTGCTAGGGTCCAGTCCAACCTCAATAACAGTAGTCCCCTCGATATCCACTTCTTTACAGGGAGTAGTGTTTCGCCCAGTAACTCTGCAGGCCTGGTAGAACCCGTGTGGTTTCACTCGACCAGAGTCATTGCCTACGAATACTTGCAGCACCACCGGCTCGTTGTGACCTTCCAGCTGAAACACAGCAGCACAAATCATATTTTGACTGACCAGCAATGCCTTTTAATTAAAATCAGGAATATTTTATGCAGCTGAACTTGAAGCAAACCTGCTCCTAGTGTTGCTGGAAACAATCCTCAGGGAAGCATTTTTTTTTTTAAATCTAGTTTATAAACAAAAGGTAATTGATGTTTTTAACCTATTGTCATTTGCTCATCTACTAAAAGACAAATAAGTCATTTAACACATGGTTGAAATGAATATATATACACATATATATAGTTAATTTTGGAGTTCTTAGCTGGTTTGCAAAAAAATTAAAACTACTGCTAAGATCACAGTATGCCCCTCACGTCCAAAAGGAGCCACTAAGTTACAGCATGTAGGTGGGATTCTAGGAAGTATGAAACCAAGCAAAAAAACAAAAAACTCTTGGCCTTTGTGTACTTGTTGTGTGGTTGTTTTTTTTTTCCCTACCCTCAGCTCAGATTTCCTGAAGATCCACTGACTCATTTTGACTGTCCAACTCAATTAGACTTATGTATGCAGGGTAGGAACTCGTCTGCCTACTGGTAAAGCAAGCTTGGGCTTCCAGGCATTCAGTAACATGAAACTCTTCCAAACAGAAAATTTTCTCTGACGGGTGCTAAAAAGAACTGGAAAAGGAATTAAAAGGAAGTTCAGATGAACAAAGGCCCATTAAGAAAATCCACATAAATGAGCACTAAATCACCATAGCAACAGGAGAGCATGAATGGATTCTTTTCTTAGGAAACTTTACTGGACTTCTGCATTACTGAAGGGGACTGAGTAAAGTGTTGGAGATGCTTGCAGTGCTGTTGAACTGGACTTCAGAGATAAGTATATTTCTATACTCTGCACAAATTATTAAGGCTTGCATTGAAAACAAGTGGTCCTTTGTCGACCTGATAAATCAGCCTGATCCGAACTGCTTTGCTGCTTTCTCAAAGTAGAGTAACTAAGATAAAGTATTAGAGGCAATGTTTTTGTTTGTTTGTTTGTTTTTTGGTATGGTAACAAAAACGTGGTTGTCTGCTTGCTTTGCCTGCTGGCCAGAATCCTCGCAGTACAGCCAGGATGCTATTTGCCTTATTTCCAAGGAGCACGCAATGCTGGCCTGTATTCATTTTGGTGCCCACTGTCACAATCATACTGCCATCAATGCAACTTCTGTGATACCTGACATCAGTTCTTCTGCTTCTCTCCAAGTACAGCATTACAGCAGGACCCTGCAAATTCACATTCTGTACATCAGCAGACAGACTGTGAATGTTCTCCCTCTTGAGCAGGAATACGAAAGACCTGTGACCTCATCACAGATGAGGTATCATTGCCTTGACATAACATTTCCTGCCTCCTGTAATTGTGTGATGCAGACAGATGTCTTGGTATCCGCAAGAAGAGAGACAGTACAGTTCTACAGCCTTTGCAGTGAAGAGATTGCAAGTTCTCCTCCCCTTCCTCTAAAAGTAGAAATTTGAGGTCTTATCAGAACTGAACCAGTTCCCATTCTGCTAAAGTATGGCTTGGAAAGGAATCCCCGTATCACCCGAAACTAAACAGCCTACCTTTACAGTTGGAAAACCTTGCTGTGTCCGGTCTTTCACCGAGCCTCGGCTGCCTTCAGTCAGGTAACGAGCCCTGTGCTGGGTTTCCGGCTGTACCACTATCTTCAGCTCCTTCCCCTCACTTTTAGTTGGATACTGACCACACAACATTGGGGTCTTCTTCCCTCCAGCTCCTTTCTGGCTCTCTGGTGCTCTGAGAAGTCAAAGCAGACCATTAAAGATGTTATAAGCAGCTCCTCAATGAAAACAAATGAAATCACAGCAAAGCTACAAAAGTAAGGAGTGTGTATTAATGCACAGAAGATGCACGGTTGAGAGCAAACATGGGAATTCTCTTTCTGACAGAGAAGGAAACCTGCAGGATGAAGAGGAATGGTGCTTCCCTGCCTCTTCCATCCAGTGCAACTGCTTTTCATAGAGTAATCATAAAGGAAGGGAAAAGCAATTAGCATTAAACTGCATTAACAAATTGAAGGCTTATAACCTGCTGTTCTCAAAGTATACAATATGGCTTGGCATTATTGGAATAAACTGCTTCACTTCTGTTAAAAATATATGTATGTACACACACATGCCAAATGGATTTAAGGTTAAATGATGCTTCTTTAAACAGGAAAACAGCCTCATGCCTGTCTCCTCCTGAACATGTACATCCATGCAAACTCAAATACCAGTTTCTGTCAAAATTCATAAATTTATGTTAAAAACAGATTTGTTCTTGTAAAAGGCTCTGACAAAATTGCACAAATTTTAGAGCTGCAGTATATGCAAGAAGACTCTTTCCTTCCAGGTGCACACCTCAAGATGTACTGTACTTGTGATCAGTTCCATAATTAAAAGCTGAATAAAGAAGCCCTCCAAAGTATAGCGTTACGTGGTCAATTCTTTAAAGCACAAGGGAAGGTAACGTTTGATGTTGTACAGAGCAGGTTTCTGTAATTATCCTGAGGTCCATCAAACCCATCTAACATTAACAAATGTAAACATGTCACAGCAAACAGGACAGGCAGAAAGAGCTCAATGTGCTTATGCAGAACGTAAATTCATTATTTTTCTTTTTGAACTACCAGAAAGTAGCTTTTAACCGTTAAAGACTGAAAAAAAAAGCAGTTTTAAATCACAGTTGTGATCTGCTAAAAAACAAAACAAAAAAAAGAATCCTGTTTCAATGTGCAATATGCAGAACTTATCCAGGTCCCAGCTGCCATGCTCTGACTTCCACTAAACCTTCCAAAGTTTTAACCCAAGTAACACAGAGCTGTGGTGTATGTTGGTGAGCTGTTATGAGGTTCGTGCTGTGCTTGAATTTCATTTTTCTCCCTGTTCCTGAGGGCTACCCGTGTCAGCACCCAGCGAGCCTACTGCTCACACTGCTCGCGGCCTCAGGCTCATCTCACAGCCACGTAGCAGCACTGGGGCAGTCTGAGGTTATAAAACCTGCACTAACCATGTCACGAAGTCCTGAATCCTCAGCCATAGTCAAGGTTAACAGGCTGGTTGAGAAAAAAAAAAAAAAAAAAGCCATGTAAAAATATGCCGTATTTTAGGAAAATAGAAGGGAGATGTCTTCTTCAACTAGCACATACAAACCTGCGATACACTCAATAAACTGCAATTACCACCATGATGCTCTTTGCTTCTGTACAAGTCAAGCAAAAGCAGTGCTTGAATTTAGGCCTGTTAGGTTATCGCTTTCCCTGTTCTTCCTGTCAGGACATTACTCCAACGGCCCAGTAATTAAGAGGAATACATTTACGAACTTTCAGTCCATGCCTTCTCTTTGTTCATATTCAGAATTTTAAATGACTTGACTAAAGTCTATCAGCATCCCACAGGGGATCTGAAAAGGAATTGCAAGGAGCAACTTCAGCCACAACCACACAGCCCCGGTACTCAGACCCGGTACTCAGTCCCGTGCTTCCTTCGCCTCAACCAGGCAGGCTGAGACTGCAATTTCACTGAATTAACGCAGCAGGTGGGTTGCATATTCTGACCTCCTCATACTTGGGAATTGCAGTTACGTAAATTAATATGGAGGACTCAAGTACAAAATTTTGAAGGGTAAAGTCAGAGAGGCATCCATTAAAATGAAATTCCCTTTTAACACTCCAAATACAGTTTTACCAGAGGGACATTGACGCTTTGGCCTCTCCAGCACATCCTTCTGCTTTCCTGAAAGTACTTCACTCTTAAAACCCAAGTCCATTGTCAACACACTGACATTTTACACATATTTATCTAAAGAGATGACACCTAAAAACTATTTGGAAAATCTTCCCTTCAGAAACTTGAGGTAATTGTTATTTTCAGTCAGATTAGATGAACATTAAAGTAATTTTAAAGACTTCACCCGAATTTCTCAGTGCTTCCTTCTCAAGTTATGAGGATTTATCATTTACACATCCTTCTAATTTAGTCAAAATATAATCCAAGTAGCCATGCCCATACAAATAGTAAAAATATTTCTCTCACACACACCCCTTTATTTATTAGCTTAATTGTTACCAGACAATGTCTCCTCAAAGCCAGCACTTCCTTTCTAGAACAGAAACTCAAATGGCAAAACCCATGATTCTATTAAAAGAGATTTCATGAGTTAACTTTTGTCTGGTCCTGCAATGCATCGCGGCTGTTCCAAGTGGAGGCTTGAAAGTGAAAGCGAGACCAAGCATGACTGAAAGCTGAGAATCTTTGCTCTAAATCAATTCATCTGTTTTTAAAAGGCTTTCAGAAATGCTAAGGGTTTCCACACGAATAAATTCTTTTTTCTATCTCTGAAAGCCAACTACAAGTCTCTTTTAAGACAAACTATTTCCGCTTCACAAATTACCAAGTGTTCTTTCCTTGCTTTTTTCTTAAAGCCAGAAGTGAATGACCTTGCTTGGCTGAACTCCATCAGGCTGCAAAATTTAACAAAAATTTAAGTGACGCTACCATAACTTGGAGTGGTCTGTAATCTAGAGTTGTAACACTGAATTTCTATATTCTAACTACAGAACTAGCTTTTCTAATATCTTAGATATTTCTTATTGCAAAGCTCTTATTTAAAAGGACAATTCTATTACATAGGATTTTGCAGTCGTTCAATCTAGCCTGTATATGAGACATTACACAAACGCTTATCTAACCCTGTGTTCATCGAATCCTAACGCCAGCGCTGCACTGTTCATTGTGCCCCTGATATTTTGGGGAGTATTATAATCTTGTGATGTTTTAGATTGAGACCACATATACTGTTCCCAAGTTTACTAGATCTCCCATTTATGTCCAGAATCACAGAATTCTTGCCTCCCAATAGTTTCCTCCCTTTGTAACTGAGGGACTGAACTCCTTTGTGCTTGCTGGAAGCAGCTTCCTCGTTCCAAGCAAACATGTTAGTTTGCTTCCTAGGTTTTACCCAGAACAAATGCTTTACATCATTAAAATTTTCAGCTGCCAAAATAAGAGATGCTGGGCAACTTCAGTCAAGCTTAGAGCATTTGCTGTAAAGACAATTAAAACAAAAGATGAAGAAATAAAAACCCACCCAATTGTTGCTGTACAGGTTTGAGGGGAGGAGCAGGGATAGTACCAACTCTTTGTTACCAGCTAGCTCCATCTTTCCAAATGAGGTCCCTAATCGAGCAGGAAGCAGCAGCACACTCTGGAGAGTTTCTCAGAATCACCTCACAGTGAAATTTTAAGTATGGAACTGCAATGACCCTGGGAATACAGACTCCAGGCTCTTTCCCTTTGGAATATGAGACATTCATACATCTCATTAGGCAAATTTTAATATTCACCATTACTGTGATTAATATCTGAACATACTACAAGCACATACATAAAAAATGAAACAAAATAGCCCCCCCAAAAGAAAATAACCAAATCTATCCATTTGACCACCTTAAGAGTACTAAAAAAGCCAGAAGTTAAAAAATAAAATACAAAAATACATATAACCACGCTACTATAAACTGATGGGTATTTTCTCTTCAAGCAGCTACTGAAATGCATTTAGTGAACAGTGTGAAGTGGGAGAGATGAGAGACCACCACCCAGGCGTGCCCACACACAGACACACGCATGCACACAACCCAGAAGCACAGAGAGAAACAGGATTAGAGATTTATTTCTGAAAAAATCAAATACAGATGTGAATTCACAAGAAAAAACAAAATTTGGTTCACCATATAGTCTTAACATTTTTATAAAAAAGTAAAGGATGCGTTAAATGATGAGAAATCTTAACAAGCCATTAACTTCTACTCCCATCGCTCTCTCTATTTGACAAATAGAGAAAGAGACAAACAAGCAGGAAAAGTGCCTAGACTGAAATCCTCACATAAAATACTGCACAAACAGCAAGATTTAGGGTGCGTCCAGTCCACTTCTGCCTTTTTTTTTTTTTTTTAGTACAATAACGTTTCCATTGTCTTTTTATACGGGGGATTGCACAATTTTTCAGGAATCTCACTTAATAATACAGCCAAGCTCATCGATTCTGCGTCCAATTGTTACGGCAAAGTTTAGCTTTATCTTTAAAGATTAGCAAGTCTAGTGAGAACTTATCATGGGCTAGAACACAAAACAGAATGGCAGAGAAGGGGAGAGATTTATGTGAGAACCTGAGTAGAACACTTGGCGGGAAGGGAGTTTTATTAGTTTGGTTTTACATATGGCGATAGAAATTTATTAAAAAAATGCAGATACCAACCCATTTCCTGCTTTTGAGTTGCCTTTGCTGTCCGTGCTGAGCTGAGAAAGGACATAGTGAGGCGCTTTGGCACTGTCGGCATCAAATATATCCATGTTGGACTCTTCACAATCTCGGCGTTTGATCCCTGGCCTCTGCTTTGGGTTTCGTTTGCGTGATTTACGTGGCACCTCAGTGTTATCATTGTAGGAACTGGTACTCATGTTACTGAAGTTGGAGGGTGAATCCTCCATCCACATACTGCAGCTCTGTTCTGATTCCAATCCACACCCCTCATCCTGGCAGGACATCCGACTGTTGTCCAGCAAGTCCTCAGGTGGTGGCGAGATGTACAGGACTGTGTGTCTCTTCGGCGTTGACTGCTGCTGCTGGACTGTGTTACTGGTTAACTGCTTTTCACTTACCCCTCGGTTACTTACCCCCACGGCTGAGGAGCAGCTCTCCACTTGCATAGCCTTGCTGTCGGTGACTGAGGTAGAGTAAATGGTAGGACTGGAAGAGGTGGTAAAGGAGCTGCAAGCACCGCCCATGGAGGAAGAGGAAGGAGCTGAAGAAGCATCTGCGGTGTACAATTTAGAAGTAAATACAAGACACGTGGTTCTGTGTGTGCTGGCTATAGCAGTCCCATTGAAGTGAAGTGATTAATGAACCGATTTCTTTCCCCCAACGAATATTTGGAATTTGGTACGTTTTGGAATGTAAATGCTTAAAGCAGTATAGCCTAGCCAATACGGTACTTTGGAAATGTCCAAATATGACTGAATGCATTGTGCTGTAATCAACTTTTTTAAAACTTTAAGTTAATTCATAAAAATGGCTGCAAGTAAACAGAATTTTCATTGCCTCAGCTGGACTACTTATTTGTGTATAAGCCATTTCATCTAAAATAATGGAAGCCCCAATCAAAACGTTTATAATCCACATTCAGTGCCAATTAAACCATTTATTATTGGATTTTTTTGTTTTGTTTTGAAAAGACGGGACTGTGCTTAGCCACGAAATATTAAAATAAGTTTCTAACCTATGAAGCAGAGAACTACAGGTCATTTTTAATGCAGACACTCCCTGCTTCAGAGGCAAATCCTGGAATAAAAATATGAGAAAATAAATGAGAAAAGAGCTGCTGATTATTCCATCATAAATGAGAAATAAAATATAAAATCAACTGAGTTGGTAGGCAAAATGGAACTGGTATCAGTCACTACGATAGAGCTATTTATTTTGCAGGTTCAGAACAGGGTTGAAATAGCTGTATTGGTGACATACTGACCCAAAACAACATGAAGTTTCTGTAATTTGATTCAGTCTCTGAGACTCTACATCAGCCTTCTCTCAGTCTTCATTAGCTGAGTCCCCTAAGCATACAGGGGCAGCCTGGGAGAGACCTCTAAAATAATTCATATTAAGCAGGGTGTATTAAACAACGTGATTGTGACCTCTCCAGAAGCCCCACAGATCAATCTGGTTTAAAATACGAAAGGCAGCTAATTGATTAAAACAAAACCCTGAAGATTTCTGAAAAGCAGCATAATCATTTCCACTGGAGAATTTTAATGGACAAATAGTTGAAAACGGAGGCTGAAATGTTAGAGAGGAAGTGGTAAGAAGGACAAACAGAAGTCTTAAATTTAAATCAGCTGTAGTTCACTAAGGAATAATTAAGTTTCATATACAGATTTTAACTTCCTAGGGGAGAGGCCACTTTACTACTGCACTGCTAACCACACCTTATGCAATCAACAAGAACTGTAGAAAGAATCTAATTTTGCAAACAATAGGCAATAATAGGTATGTTTGCTCAGCTAGTTACTGCTGTAGTAGAGGTAATACCTGCTATGATAAGAAACAAGATCCTTTCTTTTTTGTTGATTTTTTAAAATCCAAGTTATTATATAGAACTGTCACCTCTAAAAAGGTTTAGACATAGTTGAACTACTTTATCAAGTTTAAGCTACTTAAAAGTAACATAATAAAGTATATTCAGTATGGTATAAATATTTAACTAGCAGCGAAATTCAGCAAACCTTCCTATCAACCAGTCTGCTTGTTATTAACAGGGGTTACCCATGGCTGATGACAAAGACTGCTTAAAAAGGTATTGGTTTCTTACAGCTTTGCTGTGCTAAATGAAATTAAAAGTAAACCTAAACTGTTTCAGAAAGGAGTCAAGTAAAATACAGCAGTCATTGCAGTTTATCAAAAATCTATTCTGCTTTCACCTGCATAAGAAGTCCCTTCCTCAAACCTCCCGGAGAGCCAGGAGCAGATGAATGATACCAGTTCCATTTTCCAGTTTGGTTTTTGGCAAATATAGTGGCTGAAATTGGAGAATTCAGTCACTTTGAACTGCATTCCAATTTAAAGGCAAATTTATCCTTTTTATATCATGCATTAATGCAATGCTTTTTTCAAAAACACTTACAGGATTGGCAAAAACTATTAAATCTAGATATTAATTTCAGTGACAATAGGAGCTGATTTGCAGCCACTTTGAGTTGAGATAGATCGTTGCTATTTGTGATGTTTACTTTTTTTTTTTAATAGAATTAGTTTCCATTCATTAGAAAGAAATGCAAATATGCAACATGCATACAGCATATATGCTGCACGCAAATGGTTGTGACCTGAATACACGGAGCCCACAGCAGCGACGCTGCAGAGCTGGATTGCTGACTAGCAGCATTTCCCCTAGCTTAAAAAAAAATCAATTCTATTTTTTTTAAACAGATGAAACTGAGCATCATGTACATGATGATGCAGTGTATGTGGATCTCATGTTTTCCTGTCTGTGACAAAGACTGACAAATAAATAATTACGTACGTTGAACCAGGTAGCAGGGCTCTAGAATTGGAAGACATTTCCTCCTCTACAGAGAGCTTAGTATCAAGGATTCTCTTTTTGCAGCAAATACTGGAAAAGTTTTAGAAAGGTTTTTTTCGGAAGACCGATAAGAAAAAGTTAGTCACGTTCATACGCAGGTCTGCCTTGGGACAGGTCTGCCAAACACTGAGCACAGCCTGCGTATCAAGTGGCTCCATGCATATCCTCTCCAGAAATGCAACAGCTGCACTTCTCCTTCACTTTCCTAGAAAAAAAATAATCACTAAACAAAATACTTTCAGTATAAAGCTAAAACAGCTGCTAACATTATTAGGGTGCAGCATTTAGCAACGCTGCTATCGTTATAGCTACCAGGTTCTCAAAACAATTTCTCCCCCAGCTTTTTACCTATAAGTTTAAAAAAAAAAAGACCGTGTATGAACATCCATGGTTTTCCTTTCTGAAGATAAGGAGGAAACAATTACTGCCCTTTACGCACTGGTTACACTCTCCTCCGCTTGTCAGACACATCCCAGTGTATCAACAAAATTAAATTATGGAGACATTAGTATCAAGCTGGACAATTATGGCAAGAAACCCCCTCTTCAGCCATACATCTTTTCAAATGAATGTCACTGCCATCCACAAGCATGCACGTGTTAAAGCATGTGCAGGCCAGCGCCTTCTCCCTCCTAACTAACGACGTGTGAGAACGTATGGCAAATATTAAAGGCAATGAAAGGAGCTGGCTGTATCAGAACAGCCAAATACAAAATGTAAAATATACTTGGGGGGACAAATTAATAATTGCTTTATGAATAGCTTAAGTCACACAAATACTGAAAAAATGTAATAAAATTTGTGGTTTTTTTCAGAGTCTGCAGTTATTATCTAATTTTCCTTTGAGCTACTAAATAAATAAATGGGATCAACCAAGTAAGAATTCAGAAAAGTTACTATAATGAAAAAAAATCCATCTTCTACACGGCTCCCATGTTGCTCTATCAGTTTATTCAAAGCCTGTGGCTACACATGCGTACCTGACACCCCAGGGAGATCTCTTGGTTGAATGTGCTACAGTCCAAAGAAGTTTATTCTACAGTTTTCAGTAGTTCACTTTGACTGGCATTGCTTTAAAAGGTGAAAGCGTTTTGCTTTTCCTGTTTTTGAGGAAGGCATTTTTCCCCAACACACAGAAAATAACCCAAATGTAACCCGCAGGCACTGGGGCTGCAGGGAGGCGAGCACACCTCGCACACTGCCCTTCGCTGAGGTTCGCTTTGAGACACCTCAGGGACTGTCACAGGTGGCTCTTTCACTTGCAGTTTAACAGCGCTTGCAGTGACAGAGCTTGAATGAGCACACACATTTTGAAAATTAAGATTGATATCATGTTTTAACACAACTTCAAAATAAAAATCGCTTTCAGAGCAGCAGCACTGAATGTAAGCCAAGTGCACGTTATGGCCAGGACGCAGCCCGGTACTGTAATGAAATACACACCAGCTCACAAGGCTGTAGGTTTATTTATTTTTATTTATTCTTTAATAGAAAGTGAGAGAGAAAAAAGAAAACTGCTGCCCTGTTAAATCAACCTTGATCACTGCGGAAACCAAACCTCCCGAATCCACTGCTTGCCACCTCTAAGCCATGTAAGACAGCTGAAATAACTGTTTCAGAGTTTGTTGCTTGTCTTACAAGTTTTTCTTATCTCAGCTAGGTAGAATGATATCAAATAGCTCAATATAAGGAATTTCTCATTCTGTTTTGGATATCATAATTTGCACATCATTGACAAGTAATTCTGCAATATGTAAATTAAAGACAAAATAACCAAGAGCTAACAAACTAACTGGCCAGTGTGGGAGTTGAGCATGCAAACAAAGAGCTCATCACTCCGCACTACTACTAGGAAGGCCAAGTTGCAAAGAAGCTTCAGTTGTTCACCATACCAGTCATTTGTACGTTCACTTCCCAGAAAGCCTAAAAAGGGGCCTTCTGCTCCCATACATTTCCTTTGTTTTGAGGCAGTGAACAAAATTACATTCACAACCAAGAGATTGAATAATTCAAGTTTCTTTCTGAAAACAAAAAGCAGGCAGTGGCAGAAGGGATGCAACACGCATGTGGCACGAATGCATGCTGCCAAGAATCACAGGCTAGTTAAGCATGAGACTCAGGGAACACATAGCAGAGCATCCCCATCAGCAAATCAGCGCATTCTTTTTCTTTCCAATAACAAGCTATTGTATAAAGAAAATTTATTACCTCCTGAATTGCCAGCTAAGGCAGTGACATATATTTCTACATCTTATTATCTTGTGAAGTCAAACAAGGCATTCAGCCTTTTAAAAAATGTCTGAAACGGAGAAAAAAAAAAACACTACTTGGCATTGAGGGAGTCTTGTCTTTGGCTAAAACTCACGCGGAGCCAATCTTGAAATCCTTGCTCAGTCTTTCCAAAGAGATCCTTCCATACAACAGGGATTACCCAATCTTCCCAAAGAAGCAGTTCCTCATGACGTCTGTTTTTGATTGCAGCTAGAGTGCAAAGCAAGTCATTTCCCAGACTGGAAAGCTCAAGATTGCAAATTAATGCAAATAAACTGGAGATATTTGGGGCTTTACAAGTCTTCCTGCCACCTGTGCACAAACAGCCAGGACTAGCAAAGGGCCATTAAAGGACTTGCCTTTTTCTAGCCTGCATCCTATGTGATCCACTATGGTATTTCAAGGAACAATTAAGCATCAAAAACCTCACCACACATGGTGTGGTCCGAGTCATTTATAAGCCTACTATGTGGAATATACCTCTTTATTGAATTTGTTAATTTATGTAACGTGTCGTGTTTTTTATAAGAATTTTCTGTGTTAATTTGTTTATTCACAGAACCTACTGGACACAGGAGAACAATTTCAGAACAAAACCAGAAGGATAAAGGATACTATGTGCAAAATTTCCAGCATCAACCCTTGCATTGCCAAAGGCTTTACAGGTAAAAACCAGAACTTACAAAGTGGCTGCAAACCTGCTTTCAACACCTCACATGCCAAACTTGGGGTTCTACATTTCTTCTTCTTGTATTACTGATGTAAAGTCAAAAACTTTCCAAAAAGAGTTTAGTTTCAAATCAGTATCAATCCACTATTTAGAAACAAAATAAAAAAAGAAGGAAAAAAAAAGGAAAAAAAGGAAAAAAAGAAAGAAAGAAAAGAGACTTATGAAGAAGTCTGAAAACAAGACCGACCTATACCCTGGGTGAGATTGGATGGGTTAAGTGTCTCTGGCACTATTTGTCTTCACTATTGACAGACACTGTCACACAACCCACCACACGATGCCTGTCTCTGAATGGCGAAGCTAGAATGCAAGTTAAGTGTATTAATAGAGAAAAAAAACTAGCATCCCAGCAAATATAATAAAGCAATCCAATTCACCAGTTATTAAAAAACACTCAGATTCAAGATAGGTAGGTTAATTTAATTTACATTAAGCCCAACAGTGTAAATTCCCCTTACATTCACATGCTGAACCAAGCAGTGCATTGTAATTTGGGTGAATACATCAATCTGTTTTTATTACCAATGACATCCATTGTTAAATTAGCACCAAGTTCAGGTATCTCAGCAGAACCTCTGGGAGCAGCTCGGACCCAGCAGTCCCGTTTAGCTCGGAGCCAGGCAAGGCAGAACTCTAGGCCCCCTCAGCTGCTCTCTGCAAGCTCTCACCTGTCTGTCCCTCAGCTCCCTCCACAGCCCACTGCCCTAAAAGAGTGACTGGACAATGATATCACGACTGATGGGTCCAACAAAGAACGCTTCAGGTTAGGAAATGGCCTCTCTTGTTCTTTAGGTCCATGGCTGTTTTTTTCCTAACAACTTAAGAACTCCTCTTGGCTTTCAGGAAGTCTTCGATGCCGGTACTGCAAGTGCCCAAACAGGAGCACATTGGGGTTGTTCTCCTTTTACCCTTTTTCTTACTTTTTTTTTTTTCATTATTTATTAAGGAACAAGAAATTCTCCTGTCACAAGCATCTCTCGAGCCTTTTTGGCGTAAGAATAGGAGCCACTCAGTGTAAGAATTTACCATCCAAAATCTCTCAGAACAATAGAACAGCTTGTGTCTGAGTCAGTATTCTGGAAAAATGGGGCTTGCAGGCTCTGTAAGACTCAAGAAGACTGAAAACAAACTTTAATTAGAAAAAAAAGAAGATCTGGGATACATCTATGCAGCCCTCACGTGCAGTTAGCAGCAGGCTGTGCTCCACGCAGAGCAGCAGACGCGCTCAGTGTGCGCACAGCCCCACAGGACTGCAGGGCTTTAACTGAAGTTACAGGGAACACACCTAAAAGGTTTCCATGAAACGGAAACGATCAGAGAAACCTCCTTCCTCAGCATTCCCCAGGGATGAACGCTCACCCATGGTGATGAAGGAGCCTCCCCCAGCCCCTGTGGCAGCCCCTCGGGGCCCGCGGGCTGCTGAAAACGAACTGGTTGGGAGGCAGCAGTGCCGACAACCAGAGCGGCCGGGGCACTGCAGCAGGACAGGGCACTATTAGAGCATTATGGTCTGGCTCAGATTCATTCCCCAAGAAAGAAGCGTTTGGCACGAGCGAGACAAGCGCGCGGCGGCCGGCCGGCCCTGGAAGACGTCCTCCAGGAGGTGACAGGAAGGCGCTTCCAGCCGCGACGGGGTGGGAAGGGGAAGGGAACGGCCTACAAAGAAATGGAAGTTTTTACAGTCATTGGAGATCGACTACAAAGAGGAATCTTTCTTTTCCTGATCATTTGTTTACATCGTGTAATTATAAGCCCAGGAAAACAGAATTCGTAGTGGCACTCGTAGCCCCTTTGAAATTTCTGGTAATTATTTCTGTATCAACAGGAAAAACTGACTAATGACACTAGGAAGGATGACAAACCAAGAAAATATTTTCATTAAAAATAAAAATTAAGAAGCCTAACTGTTCAAAAACAAAACATCTTCATTTTGAAGCCGTATTAGAATATTTAGCTTGGAAATGATGTAAAAAGCTTTATCTTCGCAGGGGAAAATGAGCCATATCCTCAGCACTTGGTCTCGACCCTGCAGGTAATCCAAATATTTTTGATCTATTTTGCTACAGTAGCGATCTAGAAGCAAAGCTTTATTTTCATAATTAAAACGAACAGAAACACTCATAACAAGTATTTCAATTACAGATCTTTGACCAAAAAGCAAATTCCATTTGGGACAAGTAGTTTGTCCCTTTAGTTAAAAAAGGTACAAAACTGGGAAAAAAAAGGTAAAATTTCATTATTTAGTATTTTCCTAGGGTACAAACCTAAGACAGAAAAATTCAGTTCATAACAGATTAACTGTATCTAAATGTGAAGAATGCAAAAAGTGTTCAGTAAACACATTTCAACAGCAAAAAATCTTTTCCCCTTTTGTTATACCGCCACCACTCTTTGTGAATTCAATTTCAGATAAGAACTGGAAAATGTCAGAATGGAAACGACACAGGAAATAATATCCTGAAGAGCAGTACAAAAATATGGAAGGATATATTTGCCTCTGGTAAATGGAGAGCAGCATAAGAGATCATCAACAAGCTGAAGCAGCTCATTCCAAAACTCTGCTACAGAAAGAAGGAGCAGATGATAAGAAGATGCGACAGTTTTCTTCACTGAGGCTCTGAAGGTTTGAGCATTCTTGTCACTGGAAATAAAAGATGAATATGCAACACTTTTTTTAAAGTACATGGCTGAAAATGCTTTGGAATCATCCCCAAAAGACAAGAACAAGGTGTTGACCTACTAACTAGAAAGACACCTTTGAGGAAGGACTTGAATTAGCGGTTTGAATTTTAAGCATTTGAAGCACTTGTTCAGTGTGTCCTGATCAACAGGGGGGGGAAAAAATAATAAAATCAGTCAGCCTTTACAAGCAACTGAGAAGAATCAGGCATCCCTCCTTACAACTGGAGCTTAAAATCCTGTGCAGAAGGCATTATTAAAGCCTCAGCCATGCTTATTTCATGTAAGAAGTCTCCAGCCACAGCTTACAATGGTATTTCTCAACAGGACACCTTCATGTAGTTCAGGAGTCTGTAAGATGATTCATATTTAATGTGTTCATGGAACTGCACCAGGCAAAGTCCTCTTTTTCCTGTCCCCTGAACAAAGACATTTGTAATGTAAACAGCAAGCAGAGAGAACAGTTTCTAGGAGTAAAACCAAATCCTTTCCCTCCTCTCCACTTTCCAGAAGTATAACAGAATTAAAGCTTGAGATAGCAGCTTAGGTTGCGAACATCACAGCTCAAAATCCTAGAGTTCTATTAAATTATACTTGCCTGGTTGTTATTCAGAGGGTGGGTAATAGCCCCTTTGTCTGGATTAATGAATATGAGATACACATTTATTAACAAGTTAATGAATCCAATCAGCAACATTCCATTTTAATACTTGTAAAGATGTTCTGTAAATTGCAAGACATTTCAAAATGTAAGAACTAGAAGTCTGCCCCTGCAAGGCCATCACAGCTTAAAAACAGCCCATCCTGGTCCTCCAAAAAAACTAAGAAGTTAACTGCAGCAATATATTTATCTCTCAACCATGATGGTATTTTTATGGAACAAAACCCCACAGCAAAGCACCTGACAGAAAAGCCTCAAGTATGTTGAATTTCAGCCAGACACTACCTTATTCTATGTCCTGGGAAGCAGAGAACAAACTGTGTTAACTCTTATAGGAGTAGTTAAAAAAAAAGCAAGTGCTTCATTACTTAATATCACTCCCTCTAAGGTAATCCTCTCATTATGAAGAGTAAGCATATGTGTTATTGACTTGTAGATACACTGTGCCAGCAGCATTTCAAATTAGCCCTTCCTTTAAAAGTGAGAGTAAGTGAGATTACCTACAATGCTATGGAGGCTGAACTAGCATTTCCAACAAAAAAGTGAAGTTCTGGAGCAAGTAAAAGCTGACAAAACCCACCAACAAATAAAAGATTAAACAAGGGGGAGATTTCAGAACAAACTGGTTTACACCACAGGAGCATTGCTTGCCAAAGCCATTTTTCTTCCTCACCCTCTCAACCTGTGCAGTCAACTAACTGAAAACATTAAGGACTTGAAATAGACAAACGAATTGTCTAATCTCAGTCTTTAACATTAAATTTAAAGTATATGTTGTCCTGTACAGACATATAAATATCCACGGGCTGATTTTCCTCTTGCTCGGTTTGGAGCGCAGCCTGCAGTCCTGCTTTCCAGGTAAACGCTTCTCTAAGATGCACTATTTTCTTTCAAGTGCGTGGTGGAGGAGAGGAAAACAAACCACGAAGACACTACACCAAAACTATCTGCTATCACTCCCTGGCAGAGTCTGCCTAGAGCCACGGGGAGCCAGGCAGCCGCTTCCCTCTCCAAGCAGCAGCCACGCTGCTTTGGGCCGGGGCTTATCTCTGCCTCCATGTGTACACAGCGCAACTGGCTGTGGAATTATCCTGGTCATCACAATTATATGTTTATAAGAGACCAAGATTCAATTGTTCTTGCCCTCACTGTAGTGGAAAGTGACATAACCAATGAAAACAAACTAGGCTTTGCTCTGTTTTCATACCATTTTTTTTTAACAGCTTGGAGAACCGTCGTTTCTTGCACACCTAATACTTCGGATCCAAGTTTTCGTGGCACCCAGACCCTTAACTGTCTCCTCACAACGCTCGTGGAAGGCCTCCACAGCCCCAGCTCTGCAAACAGAACCCCTCATGAACTGACAGGCGCTGGGAGAAGCTCTGAGGCCCCACCTCGTCTGGCTGCTCCTTCCTCCCCCTGCAGCGCTCCCTGCCCCAGGGCACCACGAGCATTCCTGCAGGCTGGCCGTGAGCCAAGCAGCCTGCACCTGGAGCAGGTCCTTCGCTGCGCAGCACTCAAAGCCCTCTTCTCTGGCAGGACTGCCAGCCTGAAGTCTTTGTGAACCCACAATCTCTGACGCTGAGAAGTGTTCTTGATTGAGTGTCTCCCCATTCCAGTGTTTGCAAAGAAATCTCTACGCTATTTTTTGGTACTTTTTCATTAAAGAAAATCTTGCTGCAGCTTAGCCCAAACACAGCTAACACATTCTTAGTTTTTTAGAAGGAACCAGACTGGCTGTTAGCAGACACTAAATACCTGCAGGAAACAGACATTTAGTTCCATTCATCTCGAGTGTTTAATTTCCTCTGTTAGATACAGAATTAATTAGCAGTTTGCGTCCATCTGTGGATTTAGAGTGTAACAGGGTTTGTGGTTTTTTTGTTTCTTTGTTTTTGTTTGTTTTGTTTATTAAGATCTAGGTTTCTACAGGATTTGGTCACTGCTGTATCTTTGAACAAAACCAATCATTAAATATGTTGATTTTAGAAATACATGCCCCAAATATTTTTGAATAAGTGATACAAACGTATCAAATCCTTTCAACATTATTAATAAAAACATAAAAACATCATTTTTTCCCCAATGTAGCAACTGAAATTCCACTGCACACAGTTAAATCCACAGGTTCTCTCAGAAGAGGTCTGGCAAAACATGAATGGTGAGCAGTGCTGTAAAGTTTCTCCAACAAGTCTAATAATATCGTTTTAGTTCTGACCGGGATTCCTGTGCCATGCAAATCTGGGAAACATTCTTACACAAATATTTAATGCACATGAGCTCAGAGGAAAAGAAACAATGCAGCTATTAGAATCCTCTCCTTAAATATATACATTTTAATCAAGCAATAACTTAAGACCAAATCAGGAAGTGGAACATGACCTTGTAAGAAACACGGGGATCCAATTATGCAAAAAAAAAAAAAAAAAACCAAAAAAAAAAACCCTCATCCAATGAAGAAAGATGCATCGATCAGTTTTCCTTTTTTCCTCATCGCATAGATGTTTAGTAATCTATAGAGGTTACTGACAAGAATTCCAGATGCAAACCAGCACTAAGACTAACCTCACAAATGAGAGCTTTGCCCTTAAATCCAGACTTTATTTTCAATGAAGACCAATGACAGAGTCTTTAGACTAAAGTCTAGAACATGACTAGGAGTAAGCTGGAGCAGAAAACAAAGACAAAAAGGTCATGTCTCATTTTTATACGCTCTCAGAAAGATAACCAATTTCTCAGTTTTACATATGTGCCACCCTGACTAACGTATTACATTCTCACGCACGTGTAAATTTTGTAATACATTACAGCAGAGCTGTGCTGGAACAGAGTTTAAATACTAAGCTTTCTCAGGCCTCTGAAAAGAAAGCATGAACTCTCTTCCTCCCTACAGCTCGAAAACCTTCACGGCCCAAGATGTAATCTCCCATTTTTTATGCTTGTTAGAATTGTTACACAGTCGGTCAGCATTCTGACTCAGTTCCAAACAGGTATGTATACCCCTGAAGCCAGAATGCACTCTAGGAATTAACAGGCCTGTGCTGAGAGTAATAACAGAACAGCAAAACAGATAACTTGTTTCTTATAGATACATCCTCCCTGAAATACAGTAACCAGTAATTTAGAAGAGCTGGTAGTTTAGATCACCTAGTTTAGCTTGATTTATACTACCTAAATTCTCCTAGAATGAACTTGGCTACTTCTCCACCAACTTTTTACAATCAAAACTTTGCCAGCACTGTTCATGTTGGCCAGAACGTCACAAACCTTAACAAAGCACTGAATAAATGAGAATGCTTACCAGCAGCGACTACAGCTGGAGGAGGCGAACCTGCCTCGCCACCGCTTGTTTGGCTCATGGATGCTACAGATGTTTCTCTGGAAGGTGGTAACTGCAGCTCCTTTGGGAGAAGGTCATAGACAGATTCTGTTGAACAAACGGAAAACAAAAAGGAAAATGGTTTATTAAGAAAAAATCATGCTCTGTAAGAGAGAAGAAATACTGGTTTTGTCTAAAAAGATATGACCTATGACGTGACGTTCTCAGAACTTTCCTAAAAAGTTACATTAGGTACTCTGAGACCCTAACGTTATGGAATAAAGTTATTTCAGAAGACAAACCACGGAAGCACGAAGATACACGTTCTCAAGAGTGAAACAAAAACACCAATTTGTTCAAACAAAGAAATAATTCATGACCTTCCACAGAAGCTGTACTCATTTTGAATGACAGAGCTGACGGCATATACCAAGAACCACGTGAGAACCAAAGACAAACCCGCTGCCAGAGCCCAACCTGTGCAACTGCCTTTCAAAGAGACTCCCCTAGCACCATCACCTGCACAACATTTACAAAGCCCTCCCAGGAAAGCATCAGCTCCTTACCTAAGATCCCTTATTTCCATTTCTCTTGCCTTACGCTTTTTGATGAAGTGCCACAGGCACCCCTAGGCAAGCAGCCTGCTCAGAAACTGCTGGCCCCACCCTGGCATTCACAGCAGCTCTCTGACCCCTGAGAGGGGATTTGTGACTCGGGTCGCAGAGCCGCAGGGTGCAGCAGCCCAGGCACACGGGCTGGCAGCAGGTCACCTGGGCAGGGCTCTGCACGAACACCTCCCAGCGCATCGTTAGGTTACCTGAGATAATTACAGCCACGGGCACACAGCTCTGAGTGCATCTCTTCAAGGGGACCCATGGAAGATACACGGCTGCTTTAAACACCCAAGGCAGGGATGCAAACAACCCAGCTGAACAGACAGCTCTGCACCACGGATCTCTAGGAAAATCCCTTATAAATATTATTTGCGTGCCTGAGACAGGTATGGAAAGCTCAAGGCAGATTTTTAATGTCACTGTCGCTCAGCTTCCCAGCTGGGCAGTAAAACTTAGCAGCAAGTGTCATTCCCACCAATCTGCTTCCGTCCAAAAAGCATCAGTGACACAGCCTGGCTGCATACTTTGTGAACCACAAAATCCCAGCAGCTTTCAGAGACAACGTCTACTTATTTCCACGCTGAAAGGCCCCTATAAGCTCGGCCACTGGCACTGCTGTCAATGCGTCAAAAACGTCTCCAAATAGAACGTGGCATTTGGAAACCACAAGGTGTGTGCTGCTCTATTTCCTGCTCAATTACAAGTTTTCTTCAAGACGAGCATCTTGATTCAGGAGGCTGATGAAGTAATGAGGTAGGACTGAGCCTTAGGGTTTGGCTTTGTGTTTTTTGTGTGTGTTTTACATATTTACTTCTCAAAAGTGACAAAGGTTCGGTCAAATCTGCCTCTTTAAAGGGATGCTCAGATCCAAACTTCCTAAAATGTGTTGTTTCTCAAGGAACTGGTAATTATATCTACCACAAGCACAGGCACGATCTCTGTGAATAACCCTATCGACACGATAAGGAGAGGGAGGGCAGGAGGAGCAAGCATTAGAACTGAAGCACATTCCCCCAGACCATTACAAGCCAAACCCTGCTGTGCCTGCACCGTGCGGCCAGCCCCATCCTGAGGCACTGGGGGATGGCACCCAGCACCGGGCGAGCAGCCGCCCTAAGCCCAGCCCGTGGAAAACGTCCCAGGTTGTCTTGCAGAGGGCACGGGCTAACACACACCCCCAGTGACCCGGGCTATAGGGACTGCCGTTCCCAAACCTTCCTCAGGGATCCGAGTTGTGCCGGTGCCTTTAAGAAAGCTTGCCACATCAAACCTGCTCTGAGCTGATCAGACTTCAAATGAAACTTTGTGTTTTCACCTAAACACAGGCCAATGTTTATATACGCTGCGCTATAAATAGCATTAAAGCAAAAACTGACAAATTCCAGAAAGATTAGAGTTGCTGCAAGGAAACCGACTCTTCCCAGAGGATACAGCTTCTCTCCGTGCCTGCTGTCGCTCCCAAATAGCTGAGTCCCTTCCCCGTTGCTCAGCTCACCTCCATCACCGCTTTGGGGTTTCTGTTTGGGTTTTTGTTTGGTTTTACACACACACACACACCTGCTAGAACTTTGCATTTATTCACATGGAAAACATCCACAAAAAGAAAAAGCTGTTGCTATCTAAACCCTGTATTGCTTTTGAAGGAAAGAAAAAAAAATAAATTAGCATCATTACATATTTCTATCTAATTAGCAGGAAAAATATGTAAACAAAATTCCTGTCCTCAGCAGCCACTGTGCTGAATAAAGGAGTCAGGATTCAGGCAGCTGACAGCACAAGTGCCTTGTAATGTATTGCTTCTTTTGAATCCCCTTGAAGAACATATCCATTGATGCTGAGCTCCATTTACACCCAACATTCTCCTTAAATACACTTTCTTTCTCCATATAGGAAAAAAGGAATCTCTTTTTCAGGATTATTGTTATCATGAGGTATAAACAGGATCCACACACGAGCAGAATAAAGCTAACAAATGCTCAGGCAGCAGCCAAGAGGCTCATGCTCAGCCCCCCCACACAAACCCTCACCAGTTTCTGTGCCACGCATCCGTGCCATCAGCTATCGCACGCCCTCCTCGCAGGGAGCTTCCAAATCTCGCACCATCCCTCCAAATGCCTGGCTGGACTAGCTGGGTGAGCCCAGGCCTCGCAAATCCCGGTACTGAAATCAAGGACACCCGGGGAAGGGCAGATTTACAAAAAAGACCTCTAAGTGTCAAGTTTCTTCAACTGCCCTTTATCCGATTATGCTGCCAGCGTAATCTCTCCGATCAGCTGCCTGTAACTTTGATGTGCCTGCCAGTTACGCTGCCAGGTCAGAAAACTGCATTTCACGTGGCTGTACCGACCAGCACAGCCCCACACACCGAGCCAGCACCCCATGCAGCAAAGTTTGACACCTGGGGAGCACAAGGTTCTGCCAGCGTGCTGCTTGAAACTGCACAAAGCACTCAAGAGTCGAAATATTAATGAGAACCAATTAAAGCAATACGGTAGCAGAGATGCTCAGCACCAGCACAGCAGGGCCAGGAGCAGCAGCAGCAGCCCGGACACGAGGCAGGGCCACCAGCAGCACTCACCCGGTGCCATGCACTGCTGGACCTGCAGCACCTGGGGAGCTGCACACCGCTGAGACCGGGTCGCTCCGTGCTCAGCTTCGCACTGGAATGGAGACAGACACTGTCACTTCAACTGGATGGGAGGTGGGGAGAGGAAAGCGAAGGAGTTTCCCCAGGACAGCCAATGGAAGCAGCTGCAAACCATCAGCTCAGCACTAAGGCAGCAAACCCAAGGCGCAGCGCCTGCGCTCCCTCGCTCGCGGTGCTCGCAGGACTTCCCTGCAGCTCCCCACGCTGAGCGGCCCCAGTGATTCCCAGCTGCAGCCAGGCAGGAATCTCAGCTGTCCAGCCTCAGAGCTGAGAGCTCCAGCAACTTGGTGCCCCGTTAGCTCTCCCTGTGCCGGGACTGGTTCACGAAGCTGCCACAGGGGGCACAGAGCCGGGGCGTTTTCCACGGGTCGTGGCGGTGCCTGGCCCTTAGGCGCACATCCTGGAAATCTCTCCCCGCTTCCTCTGGCCTCCTGAACAACAGCAAAGATAATCCCTGTGTTTTAATAAGCTCTCCGCACCGAGCGGCCGCCCACTTGATCCCTAGCGCTGTTAGTCTCCTCAGCATGCTCTAATACCCACACAGCCTTGGCTGCTTCTTCCCAGGCCATTTCCTTGCCGCAGCACATGACAGTCACACCAGAGATTAGCCAAAACCTTGGTGCACCCTCCTCATCAGCTGGCAGCGTGCTAGCAGAAACCCCTTCTCTGGACGTGCTCCAAGCTGATCAGACAGCAAATAGGCAAAAGCAGCTACTTATAAGGAACTACATTTATAAAAAAAAGCAATTAGAAGCACACGAACCTGCAATAGCTTCAGCTACGCGGGCTGTGAGAAAAGTACAACAGAGCACATGTACTCTGCCAATGAAAGAGACCCTAGGAAGAAAAAGTGGTGTCCATACTCTACCACGTTCCCAGGTAGGCATAAAAAATCAGGTTCACGGTGCCTGTGTGTGCATACAGATCCTGCAACTCCAGCAGTTCATGTTAAAGTGAGAGCTTTAAAGCCACGGGCCTGGCACTCCTCACTCGGAAGGCTGCTGTGATTTCATACAGCTACACGTGCAAGTCAGGGGCTTCTGGATCCTTTTGGAAAAGGCACTGAACCCCAAATCTATTCTACACCTGAAAAACCAAGGGCTCTGATTCTGTCCGAGGACGCTATGCATTTTCTTTTATTTTTAAACACAAAGTTTGGCTCTACCCAGCAGCCCAGAGCCTAGGCCCAACAATACGGTGCGGTGGCTGAGCGCGCTGGATGCCAACAGCTCCGCCACAATAGCTCCGCTCACAAAGGGTTTCAAAGAATGACGGAGGGGTGGGAGAGGTCCAGCAGCCCGAAATGCTCAGCGCACAAGCACAGCCTTGCTTTGTTGCCAAACGTTGGCGTCCTGTGACCCTCACGGACTCGCTGTGCACAAAGCCTGGGTGTGGGAGCACTTCCAAGGCAGCATGCGGGCTGTCAGGAAGAACCCGCAGGAGCCATCCGATTGCCCTGTTCTCTGCCCGCCCCCAGCCCCCTCCAGACACCCACCGAGGGCACCAGGAGAGGGGCTCTGAGCGAGTTCGTTACGGCAGTGTGGGATGATGGCTGGATGGCAGGAGCACCCTGGAGCTCCATGGAGGCGCTGGGGGTCTGCGGAGGGCGGTGAGAGGGGACAGCACTGCCACACCAAGGCAGGACAGGGGCAGGATCAGCCTGTGACCACGAAGGACTGGTGTGTTCCTATTTTTTTTGTTGTTTCTCCTAACATCCTACCGACTGGCCTTGATGCACACCCCTTGGAGCACCCTATAAGCCATCGGTCTGACCCTCCCGCTCCGGCACTCCCCACAGTGGGACGCAGGCAGTGTCCTGGCCCCGTGTTCAGCCCACGAGCACCGCC